ATTACACCGGTCTCCCTCCTCCGTCCTTCCCCCACAGGCCCCAGTAACAACGCCACTGGCCAGTCCCGGGCCATGATCGCCGCAGCCGCTCGGCGCAGGGACTCCAGCCACAACGAGCTGTATTACGAAGAGGCGGACCACGAACGGCGGGTGAAGAAGCGGAGAGCGAGGTGCGGGCCCCGGCGGGACAGCGCCCTCTGGTCGCGTGGACTTTTCCTTTCTTTTCTTTTTTAACCGCCAAGGTCACTCGCTCTTCAGTAAGCCTGGAGGTGCTTGCAGATTCCCAGCGCGGTTTGAGCGGTCCCATCCTACACCCGCAGGCCCTCGCTGGCTTTCGAGATCCGATCCCAATAACCGAAGTGGACGGCGGTGGTTTCCCAATCGCATGCTCTGAGCCTCTTTTTTTCCCAGGGGCTGCTGGTTTGGCTGCCGGATGAGCAGGGAGGCGGCTGTGGGGCTTTGCAAGGTGCTTCTGAGCCACCTGTCAGCGCAGGCGGAGCCTTTCGTAGCCAGAATTTGAGGAGCCTTAGACCCCTTTTCATCTCACCCTTCACTGTGGAGATGAACAAGAGCGAAGCGAGTCTCCCAAGCAAATTAGAACAGAAATCGTCTCCCAGTCCCGGGCCCCCTCCTTCCTCACCCCCGTGGCCCCAGTTCCACGTTATTTCTCTGCCTTTGCCTCCCTCTCCCCCTCCCTGCCCTCCCAGCCTTTGGAGTGACAGCTAAGGCCGTGAGCGCCGGGGGAGCCGCTAGCAGCCTCGGGCAGAGCAGTGGGGCAGGAGCCCTGCTAGGTCCCGGAGACGGTTCTCACACCCTGTCCCGATGACCGTGTTGCATTGTCCCCAGGCTGGTGGTTGCGGTGGAGGAGGCCTTCATCCACATCCAGCGTCTCCAGGCCGAGGAGCAGCAGAAGGCCCCGGGGGAGGTGATGGACCCCCGGGAGGCCGCCCAGGCCATCTTCCCCTCCATGGCCCGCGCTCTGCAGAAGTACCTGCGCACCACGCGGCAGCAGCAGTACCACAGCATGGAGAGCATCCTGCAGCACCTGGCCTTCTGCGTCACCAACAGCATGACCCCAAAGGTGCGACTCGGCGCCGAGCCGGCGACGTCCCACAGCGCGGGCCGATAACTAGTGGTTCTCACTTACTTTATAGTATTTAAGTTCTGTTGCTTTTTTAGATGTGCCTTTTGAAGGCTTCTAGAGTCAAGCAGAGGGGAGACCTCTCAGAGACAGTACAGGTGGTCGTTAAGGGAACGACCACCTGTAGGTGGGTCCTAGAGCCAAGCCGATGTGCTCTCACCTGGCTTCTCCACCCACCAGCTGGGAGACCTTGGGCCAATAGCTTAACAGCTTGGTGCCTCAGTTTCCCAATCCGTAAACAGGATAATACTAATATCCGCCTCATCGGGTTGTGAGAACTAAAAGTGCTGAAAACAGCGCCTGTCACGTGGGAAGGACCGAATACATGGCTGTTATTAACGCTAAAAATGATACTATCGCTTTGTTAGGCATTTTGGACGTTGTAGAATTTGTTTTACTGAATGGTCTTTATTTTGTGATGAGCACTCTTTTCGCGCTTTTACAAGAAACAGTCATGTGTCTAATAGAGGCCTACGGCCATGGAGGTGAAACAGAGTGAGTTTAGCAAATGCTCTCTCTTCACACAGAAGTGGGTTCAAATCCTGGCCCCAACACTTCATTGGTTTGTGGCTTTGCGTGTTACTCTACACTTCTTTTTTCTTTTATAAAACGGGAATAATCATAGTATCTACTCGATAGGGTTGTTGTGTGAGAATTATGTTAAACGTGGCAGCAGGACGCGTAAGTCATGTGGTAGAGAGTAAACAGGGTTGGCGTATAGCACACGTGCAACGTTTCGTAGTCATCATTAGTATACGGACCTGTGATCATACATTGTCCTACACATGTACAACTGCTGGTTACATTGTCACTAACCAGTAACTCCAACCTGGAAATAACTTAACCATAGAGCAGTGGCTTATAAGTTGTGGTATATCACTTGTTGAAACATGGAAGAATCTTTGTTAGAATATTAAGTTACAAAAAGCGGAATGCAAAACAGGATGAACACGTGGTTGCAAACACATACAGTGTGTCTACATATGCAGTAATAGCTTGTACAGCCAACAACCCACGGAAGCAGCTTTTTTCCTTTTTTCCAAGATTTTGTAAAGTTTCCCAATTGCTTTTATTTTCATTTAAAAAATGTACTTTTCAGAATTAAAAATAATAATCTGGGCTCCATGAGTAGTACTGCAGTGAACATAGGAGTAACATATATTTTTATGAATAAGTGTTTTCAAATTCTTTGGGTAGATACTCAGGAGAAAGATTACTCGGTCATATGGTAATTCTGTTCTTAATTTTTCGCGGAGCCTCCATATTGATTTCCAGAGTGGCTGTACCAGTTTGCTTTCCCACCAGCAGTGTATGAAGATTCCTTTTTCCCCACAACCTCTCCAACTGTTGTTATTACTTGTCTGTAATAGCCATTCTGTAACAGGTGTGAGGTGCAATCACATTGGGTTTTGATTTGCTAATGAAGTTGAGCATCTTTTTATATATCTGTTGTCCATTTGTCTGTCTTCTTGGGAGAATGATCTGTTGAGGTCCTCTGCCCAGTTTTGGATTGTTTTGTTGCTGTTCGGCTGTATGAGTTCTTTATATATTTTGGATGTCAGTCCCTCATCAGAGGTGTCATTTGCAAACATCTTTTCTCATTCAGTGGGTTGCCTTTTGGTTTTGTCGATAGTTTCTTTTGCTGTGCAAAGACTTTTCCATTTGATACAGTCCCATTTCTTTATTTTTGCCTTTGCTTCTCTTGCCTTTGAGGTCAAATTCATAAAATCCTCTGTACGACCGAGGTTCATAACTGTAGTACCTGTATTTTCTTCTATATATTTTATTGTTTCAGGTCTTACGTTTTGGTCATTGGTCCATTTTGATTTAATTTTTGTTTATAGTGACAAAGAGCAGTCTAGTTCCATTCTCTCGTATGCGCTTTTCAGCTTCTCAGCACCATTTATTGACTCTTTTCTTCATTGTACATTTATGGCTCCTTTGTCAAAAATTATTTGCCCGTACATATATGTGGGTTTATTTCTGGAAACAACCAAAATGTCCTTTGATAGATGATTCAATAAAGGAAATGTGGTACATACACAATGAACTACTACTCAGCCATGAGAAAAGAGAAATACTGCCATTCGTGACAACATGGATGGATCTTGAGAATATCATGCTAAGTGAAATAAGTCAGATGGAGAAAGTTGAGAATCATATGACTTCACTGTTATGTAGGATATAAAACCGAAAGCAACAAATGAACAAGACAAACAAACAAAAACTCACGGACGCAGATAGTGTGGTGGTCACCAGAGGGAAAGGGGGAAGGGAAGAGGTAGAAAAGGGTAAAGGGGATCAAATATATGGTGATGGAAGGAGCTTTGACGTGGGGTGATAAACACACATGCAACATACAGATGATGTTTTATAGAATCGTACACTTGAAATCTGTATGATTTTATTAAGCAATGTCACTCGAATAAATTTAGTAAAATTAAAAGAAGGATAATATTTGATAAAAATCCGAACAGTAAAGAAAAGTATAATGTACAGAGTGAAGTTTCGTTCCTCTAGCCTAAAACAGTTCTTACTGACATAGAGAGGGGTGTGTGTGTGCATGTGTGTGTGTTTAAAGCAAAAACGAGGGGGGCGGAAACCCCAGAAATGAGATCTCATACCTGTACGTACAGTGTGGAAGCGCTTTATTCACGTATTCCTCTCTCGTTGGCTACATTTCCATGTCAGGACTTCTAAATCTCTATCCTACAGATCATTACTCACTGTTTAATAGCTGCATCTCATTGCACGAAATACCGTGCAGTGAGATGCAGCTATTAACTGATTGCCTATTGATACGGGTTTGGATTAAGATCTGTCATTAGTCGTAACCAGGGCTTAGCTGTTTTTCTTAATCGGTGATGTTGGCATGCAGCCACACCCTTTTATTTACATATCTTCTGTGGCTGCTTGCTTTCTACAAGGCAGAGTTGAGTAATTGTGACAGAGTGTGGCTTGCAAAGCTGAAAATATTTACATTGGGAGAAAAGTTTGCCAACCCCTGGTCTAAACAGTGTTGATGTAACTATTTTACATATGTTTTTGTGCGTTTGCGCAAGTATTTCTGCAGGATAAATTTCTAGTCAAGGAATAGATGGATCAAAGGTGTAGATTGTCCTAAAGGGTGTGACTGTTTTGCACTTTAGCCTCTGGGATATGAGTGAGACTCTTTATCCACACAAACACACATGCACACACACGCGTGATAGCATTGGGTGTTATTCTTTTTAATCATTGCCCATCTAGGTGTCGGAAGATATGTTTTTTCATTATTTGAATTCATATTTCTTTATTAATGTGATAGAGCATCTTCCGTGTTAATTTTCTATTCTGTAAATTATTTCATGTCCTTTATTGTTGAGTTCTTATAATTCATAAGAGCTATATCATATTAGAAGTGTGTTTTGTCCTAGAGGCACAGCTCTGCTTTCTGCCTTAGAATATATGCTTACAGATCAGAGATAATGGACCTGTCAGCAGCAGCGAGGGGTGGGTGGAAGGGGGTACCACTTAGAAACCGTCCTTGAACTATGGTCTAGCTAGAACCAGAGCGACGTATCTCAATATTTTCTATCTGTATCACTGGTTGATCCTTTCTTGCAGCTAAATCAGTGTATTAATGGACATAATACACATGCCGTTGAGCTTCTAGAATCTGCCAAGCACATCAGAAATTCAAATTTAAAAACAGTTCCTGCCCTCCAGGAGAGTAAAGTCTAGTGTGGGACCCAGACTAGCAAGTCAGCTGTCATTGTTCAGAAAGTGAAATGTCACGCAGGAGTCCTGCCGGGGGTTGAGGCGTTTAGAGGCGGCTGTGTTAATATGAGATGTTTGGGGTGGGGTGTAATGAGAGGAATTGGCTGAAGGATGACAGGAACAGCGTGCGTGCGTGCGTGCGTGTGTGCGTGTGTGTTTGGGCGGCGGGCAGAGAACTCCAAAGAGCCAAGCGCTAGTAGAGTCGAGACTTGTACAAGGGAAGGTGAACATGGAGTCTGGACACCCCTTGGACTCGCCATACGTGCACGCGATCCGACACCAAGTAACCTTCGTGCCCGTGGGTTGGACGTCCGTCGTGCCATTCGTTAGATGGTTATCTACCCATTTCGTCCTCACTGCGGCCCTGTGAGTTAGCTGTTGTTTCCTTCACTTACAGAGAGGTTAAGTGACATGTCCACAGTCACACAGCTACTAAGTGATGGAGCGTGCATTTTTTGCATGTGTAGGTATATCCCTTTACTTGTTCAGCTCATATTCCGGGGTGCTCCTCTGTGACCGGCTGTTGCCCTGAGCTTTCAGTGTCGGAGAAGGCAGACGTGCGGGCAGGGATGAGCCAGGGGCATGTGCAGTAAGGCCGAACCCTTGGGATGGGGCTGGTGCCTCAGTGATGGCTTCCGGGCGAAGACCGACACCGGCCACCTCCCTCCCTCACCTCCGCCTGCCACCACCTTCGCCTGCTGGTTGAAAGTGGGCAGAGGAGAAGGGGGAGGTCTGAGAAGTGTTCCACCCTGAAAGCGACTCAGCCGTGAGGGTCCGATGGGGATTCGGCGTGAAGAGCCAGGCTCTGTCCTGGTTTCTTGGGAAGATGCTTTTCATAGACGGGAGAACGGGGGGTGTTTCTCCGCTGACAGCCTCTCTCCTCTCCTCGCAGGCCTTCCTGGAGCGGTACCTCAGCGCGGGCCCCACCCTGCAGTATGACAAGGAGCGCTGGCTCTCCACGCAGTGGAGGCTCCTTAGTGAAGAGGCTGTCACGAAGGGGCTACAGGATGGCATCGTTTTCGTGCTCAAGTGCTTGGACTTCAGCCTCGTCGTCAGTGTGAAGAAGATTCCATTCATCGTGCTCTCGGAAGAATTCGTAGACCCCAAATCTCACAAATTTGTCCTCCGCTTACAGTCTGAGACGTCAGTTTAAAAGTTCTATATTTGTGGCTTTATTAAAGAAGAAGGATATATGGAGAGAGATATATATGTACCAGAGGAGCATCTTTTTTTTTTTTTAATTGTTCTTCATTGCTGACCGAGACTGGCAGATGACAGACCAGTGTCCTTTGACCATCTGCACTTTATTTGGAAGGAAGCAGGGGATGTCCGCCCTGGAAGAAGGTGACTGAGGACATCAGACTCTTGTGGATGGGACTTCTCGAGAAGGCGTCCCCTGGCGTTCCTGTGACAGCTGTAACCAAAGCGGAGCTGACGGTCCTTGGGAGCCTGGCCTTCCCACGTGACCTTCGCCTTTCATCCGGCACCACAGCCGCCCGTTGCTTCCGGTCGACCCACTCGTAGGCCTCTGAGGGGACACATCTTTATCCTGGTTCAGGAAACCAGATGCGACACGTCCACATACGTGCTTGTATGTGTAATGTCCGGTTCCTCGTCTCCCATGGGCGCCGCGGGCCGCTTGGGAGTTGTGGCCTCATCTTTGTTGCCTTAGGTTCCGCAGAGAAAAATCACAACAAAAAAATGTGCACTATCCGTGGACGGCTCTTAATTTGATTCTGTTTTTTTTCCCCCAAAGAGAAAACCTGCCTGCCCTATTTCTGACCCTGATTCTCTACCGGCCAGAACAGGTAGCCCTTTGCTAACCCTGTGATTGGCACCTGTCTCCACCCATCCCGCCGTCCCCAGCGCACGCACACACGCACGCACACACGCACGCACACGGCCCCCACCTGGCTGGCAGGCCTGGCCAGGGAAGCCCAGCCCTCGGACCTGGCTCTGCACACGTGCCCTTGGGCTGTGCGCCCAGCCTCAGGTCATCCCACGGATTGTTTGCATAGGGAAGTGTGGAGCGCCCACCAGGTGGGTCACAAGCGGGGCAAGCCAGCTCAAATGTCCCTTTTAGGCCTGGCGGGAGCCCCTCCCTGGAGGCCCCCCTCCCCACTGCTCCCCACCAACCAGGGGGGAGACTGACAGACACTGAGGCTCTGTCACCGGCAGATTCAGCTTGGAGCCTCTAATTACCCAGGGTGATGAGTTCTCTCGCAGCTCCCAGCAAGCTGCCTGCCGCAGGAGGCCAAGCAGTGCCCACTGCAGGGCCAGCTGGTGCCGTCCGGGCCCTGGGTTCAGACCACCGTCACTGTGCAACTCATCACCTCTGCCACTACCAGGGAAGGGCTCGCTCAGCCCCTGGTGTCAAAAGTACTTGTAGAGTTTGGCAAAGTGAGGAGAAGAGTAGGGAACCAGTCCTAGGGTCCAGAATGACGCGTCTGCGACCTGTTTCTTAAAGGCGGCTGGTTCCGGTGGGCTTTCCTCCGGCCTCCAGTGGGTGGGGAGCCATCCTGGTGGAGCCCCGTGCGTGCGAGTTCCCCGAGGAGCCACGCCTGACACCGTGGGGCCCGTCCCCTGTGCCTCTGTTTGCCGTCCTATGTCAAAGTGTTCACTCTTGGTTTTCCCCGGTGGTTAGGGTACCGTTCGTTGCTTCAGTAAAGGATGACACCGTCAGATGTTCGTCGTGTATGTGTTTCCCACACACCTTTACCAGTTTCTGCATTCCACAGGTGGCGTAGGATCCGTATGTCATTTTTTAAATCAAAATTGGCTTTGGATATTTGCAGTACAACCGTACCCGAAAAAGTAAACAGTGTTCTTGAATCAACAGCCTTCAGGTCAAAAGGGAAATTTGCTGGGAAAGAAAGAAGGAGAAACCGGTTCGTCTGGCGTGGAGCCAAGATGTATTATTTAACTACGTGGTTCCGTTGATGAAAAACACACCATGTAACCACGGTGCTTTTGCTCCTTTTAGATTTTGCCTAGAGATCCCTTCACACTAGACACTCCGTGGGATGATGTCTTTCTCAGGAAATATATTTTGGGAGTTAGGGCAAGGGACAGTGAACGTGTCTGAGACTTTGGCCGCGTAAGGGTTATGATGTCCCAGACTAAATGTGTCAGAGGCTGTTGTGTCAGCGACACGGCAGTGGAGGTGCCATAAACGTCTGTTCCCATAGTTCATAATGACACGATTTGTCAGCATTCTAAAATCCCGTGCTGCCAACCCTGTCTTAAGTCCATCAGGGGTAAGTCGGATTGGACGCTTTGGTGGGTACACCCCCAGCAGCGTGGAGAAGGATTTAAATTAAGGAATGTACTTTTTCTCCCCCGCTTTCTCCCCCTCCCAGTCTTGGCATAGAAGCATGTCAGGCTTTCTGAAATGATCGTTTCTGTTTTAAATTGAATATTGATCTTTTTTTTTTTTTTTTACACCGACTTCGTGTTGAGTCCTTTTTGAAAGAACGCTAAAATAAAATGCAGGATCTTCGTATAAAGGCTTTGCATGTTCAAACTCTTCATAGCTCGAGTTACTGGTGCAGTGGGAACAGTGTAAATGGCATTAAAATATGTAAGGTTTCTGAAAGCTGCATCCCGTGATGGAACATAATGCATTTTTTATTTCAGTTCCTGGAACCAAAAGGCTATTCTTTTTAAAGGGTGCTAACTGCCCTGGGGCTGGGAGAACATGCACACTCGTATTAGAGGAGACAGGATTTCATTTGCCTTAAATGTTTATAGATTTTCTATAACTTTCAACGTAAGTTATTAGAAAGTGAATGTTTGAGAGTGGAAGACCTTACCGAGGCGTGCACGCCTGAGATCGCCGTCTTCCCGGGGCGGCGTTTTAGCCGGTGTATAATAACTTTCATCCCTAAGTGCGTCCTTCCGAAGGTGGCGAGCATTTGTAATCATCTGTGAGCCGGATGTCAAAGTCTGCTTCTCAGAGATGGGCGGGATGTGAAGGTGCTGTAGTTCGTCCATCCTTTGCATTATCAGTGAAGTCGAAACACGGAACGCCTTTGCTGAATTTCACGGTGAACCCTAGAGGAAACGTTTTGCTTGAGCCGGGTTTTGCCCAACTATCATCCTCTCCCCTCTCCCTCTTTGTCCGTTCTTATCCAGTCTACGGACAGGACAGATTTTGTTCAGCAAATTTTAAGAGGTAGGCGGCGTGCGTGCGTGCGTGTGTGCGCGTGTGCGTGCGTGCGTGCGTGCGTGTGTGATGCAGTAGCTCATTGTCCGGGGGGAGGTTGTGCTGGTGTGTGTTGGGATGAGGCGCCCGCCCTCCCTTCTCTCCACCGTAATGGGTGATCGTCGAGCTCTCATTCTTGCGTCTCATCTTCACTCTTGAATGCATGCGTCTGAATAAAGCTGTAGCTCTGTGACAGCCACGAGCCTGTTGGGCTGACAGAAATCGGTTACCCTGCCCCCCACCCCCACCCCTCCTTACCCTCTGCCCCTGGGAGAATGAGTAGCCACTCAGTGAAACCAATAAAATCAGGGCCTTGGTTTGCTCTCTTCTATCTGGGCCTAAACAGGGATGCACACTTGCTTGCAGTTATGCATTTCTATATATGTGAGCATTTCTCTGAGTGTGCATTACCAGATGGAAGGCATGTTTATACGTTAGACATCTGAACATCTGTGTTATCTGTAGCAGATGGGTGTGTATCTCTGTAGATAACTTGTGTTTATGTGGATGAGTGTTTGAGGGTGTCTGTGTTTCTGCGTATGCCATATGTTTGAGAGATTTCCTGGTCCCACCCATCTTTTGGGAGGTTACCCTAAAGCCAGTAATGTCTCCCACCTGTCTTTTATTCCCTTTGCTCGGTTACACTGGCTTCTCCCCAGGGGTAAATGGCTTTAGCACAGAAATGTCTTCTGGAGAGCCTGCTGTGCCGCAGGCAAGTCCATTAGACTCTTGTCTCAGGACACTAACCTGCAAACGACAAGCGACAGAAAGAAAGGTCAAATTCTACGGCAATTACTGCTCCGACTTCACTACCCTGGAAGCCTTACCACATGTTTCCCAACGTAACTTAAAAGTTGAACTTCATTTAAAAAAAAAAAAAAAAGAGATGGATTACTGGAAGTTAGCGCAGACATGTTAACACGACATTTAAACAGTCCCACAGCAGATACCCTGAGATTGTAAAGTGATGCTGAGTGTTTCTGGGTAGACTTTGTGCTTTCTGGATCTTGTTACAATAAAAATAAATCACTACTGTGAATTTACTACTATGTAACCTTGTGGTCATATTCCATTATAAATAAAATACGAATTGTTTTTAAGCCCATAGCACAGTTCTTGCATGGTGTTCAGTGCAGTAGTGAATTGAGCTAGTTAGACCCTACACAGAAATCACTATTGGGCTCAACCAAAGGATGCTCAGAAAATTGAGATTTCAGATCACGTTTTTGACAAGATATATTTTAGTCGAAGAAGGAGGAAGGGTCCTAACACACGTTGGTCGGGCGTTGTGTGTCACGTACTATTCTAGATGGCTTTGCTATCCTCACATGCCCTTACGGTAGGGGTTCCCTCAAGTGTATAGATGAGAAAAAAACATGCTCAGAGAGGAGGGGACTTGCCCAAGGTCTCATGGTTAGTAAATGGAATTTCATATCTAATGTTCGTTCCAATCCCTCAGTCCCTGTGCAGTCTAAGGTAAGATCTAAGCAACGTTTTTGGATGTAGAGGAAGGACCTGAGGGTGCTTAACCTTGAATCAGAACCTGGGATGGGAGGTTCGTTGGATGTGGAATCGCTTCTGCTCTTTCACTTGGGGTTCGCCCCATAGCTGTGGCCCCACAGGAAGCTTCTTCACAAGCTGACGGATTTCTTAGGCGTTTCAAAGAAAAGAACTTGAGAGTCCCCTTTCCCCCAGAAAAACCAGCCCTGCCGGTCTCACCTTCTGCGAGACCCTGGTGCTGTGGCTCCACAGCCACCCCTCGCTTTTGCCCCTCCCAGCCTCCACCTCACCCTGCTGGCTGGGGCAGCTTCGCCTCGGTCACTGGGTGGTGTGCAGGGCCTGCCGGCCTCCTCCTGAGCTGAAGAAGCCTCTCCTGGCGGTATGCCAACATCAGGTCACTGGTTGGGGCAAGAGGGACAGCCTGCACACCCAGCCTGGGGGGCGTTTGGAACTGGAGTCCTTGGCCTCGCTCCCTACTGCGATGTCATCAGCAAGCTCTTCCACGGCTCCCTCGCAGTTTCCCCCAAGAGTTTTAAAGAGCAGACATAAACTAGGACTCTTGAAAACACTGTTTTTCTCTAGTCCCGAGTCTTTAAGTTTTGGTTCGGTTGCTCATATACTGCCTTTTCCTCTCCTGCTGTGTGCTTTCAATAGAAGACGGGGCCGGGAAGATGGTGCTTGCACCTCTCAGCACTGCGACTCAATAGGAATTAGGACATGTTTCAAAGGGTAGATGAGAAATCTAAAACTACTGAATAAAATTAGATTTTAGGACTCCGTGAGTCCCTTTTACCAGGCCTCAGTCCCATTTCTACTTAAATAACCCCAATTATTTTGTTTTACCTGTAAAATAAATCTCTTAATGGGTTGTTTTAGGGTGTCCCCAAAACAACAACAGATTTCTAACGCCGGAAGCAGCACAGAGAAACGTTACTTACATATGGTGCTAAGAGTCTACAATTTATACGTCTCTCTCAGCTTGAAAACATGTTTTGTTCTTGTCTTTGTAGAATAAAAACACTCTTAAGCCTTATGGACAAGTGTAAGACTTCTATCTTGAATGTCTTTGGTATTTCTTTTGGCACTGAAATAATATTTGGATAAAAATATTTGAATGTACCGTTGTCTGGATGCGCATGTGCTTATGCTGAGCTGAGCGCTCCCACGTGGATGTGAGGCTTCATTCCAAAGCAGCTCATCATTTAGGAGGTTTTAAACCCCGCAATGTCCAAAGCCTAGAGAAGTTTCATCTCTGAGGATCAGAGACTGTTGCTCGGGGAATTACTGAGGGGACCCGGGCATCTGATCTGCACTCATGTAGTGTAGAATTCAGACAGCTACATAGCATTACCATTCCCGGGACCAGGTTATAGAAATAATAGCACTCCTGAGTTATAGAAATCATGGAATAGTCACTTGATGTTGATCATCACTCTGATTTTTTTTTTTTTAAGTGAATGTAAGCAAATCCAAACTTCAGTGATAATTCCTTATTTTTTATAATAGTGTCACCGTAGGCTTTAATTAAATAGCAGACTCTTCTGGGACCCCGAAATTGTGACATAATTAACCACATTTGACTTTCAAGCAGTCGTTTGTGAGTACAAGTATTCTATAGGCCATCCAGCCAGGAGAAGGGCGGGTAGTGAATGTAACTCGCTTCATGGGTGACCACTTAACGAGGATGCTGGCGAGAGAGCCAGACAGGCCTGGGCCCGGTCCCGTTCAGAGAAGTTTACTTGACGATCACTTTTGTGTTGAAATAGATGTACGTTTTTGAATTTAGAATCTGGTATCAACCCAGAAAGTTCAGTGGCAAAACCATCTCTGTCTAACGAAGCCACCCCGTTTATGCAACGACGTGGCCTGGCGTCTTCTGCGTTCTCGCTTATTAGTTAATACAGTACTTTGTAAACGGGGGGGCCAGTTTTGCTAACCACCCTCTACGCAGGATCACTATATGTGTATGACAAAGTCTGAGTGTGATTTCCTGCACCAACTAGGTGGTGGCCTCTGCTGAGACATTGCAGACAGGTAAATGAATGAATGATGCTACCAGCAACCATCTGCCCGGGGAGGCTCACATGCATTCACAAGGTTATACTGTGAAACCTCCTCACGTCTGTGACCCCAGTAACAATGTTAGTGTCTCTGGGAGACAGAGTGTACCTGGCATCCAAGTCATTTTGTTCCCTTTTGGGTCCCCTATCCCAATGAACTGCAAAACATTTTACATTTTTTACTACTGTAAAACTTGGAAAATAAACGGAAATCCTAAATTGTATTCTGTTTCTTTTGTGTGTGTGATTATTTCCATCTAAAAAGTTTTATTTTTTTAGGGAACATTTTTCCTCTTGCATGATTTTTATATCCTCTTAAAAACCAAGACGATTAGGATAGATTTGACTGAATGAGAAACTAGAATTGCCGTTGTAACACGAACTACTGGTTGCAATCATTTTATGGTCGAGAATATTCTAAATGAACACATTACTGAAAATTAAATTCTTAGGCTCTAAAATGTGGAAATGAAGAGATCTTTTGAGTAAAGCAGCAAGTTAAAAAAAGGATCTTTGAATCAAGTAAGGAGGGAGAAAAGTGTCAGACCCTGGATTCGTGAGGGGGTGACTATTAGACTGTTTTTGTGAATAGCTCACAAGTTAAATTAATGACATTTTAGATAAGTCTATTTAAAGAGAATTTGATTATTTGACCAAAAACCTAAGCTTGCTTTCTGCTGCCCTCCGCTATCTTTTTACCTGTGCAGAGTGCTCATAGCATACAAATCCTTACCTATCACATGGACAGGGATCAGAGAAGGCAATCGATGGGAAGATTTTCATTATACAGATTATTGATAGGCATTGTTTCTCTGGGTCGTCCGCCAAGATGTGCACAATTTATATCTGCATAAATACTCTGCTAGAGAATAGATGAAAACTGGGTGTAGATATAAACTAAAGATTCTTCTCTTTTTCATTCATTACCTATGATACAGCTGTAGAATTTTGGACGAGTCTTAAGAATATCAGATGATAAACTGTCAGATGATGGAAGTCACGGCCTGTTCCTCCTGCGCCAGAGATGAGGCCCCTCAGCAGAGGTGTGGGAATGAGCAGTGTCATTCTCTGTGGGGGTCAAAGGGTCATGCAAGCATCTTCTCGTTATACATGGACCATCGAAAGGAGATGACGCTTGGGTGTGTTCTCTCTATTTACATCTGAATGTATTCCTGCAGCTCTGAGAACGCATCATCTTTCAGACAAAATGATGATGCGTTTGTAGAACTGACAGAAGGTACTTTAAACACTTTTCCTTTTCTAGCTTCTTGCTCAGCTCTCCCACCGTGGCCATTCGTTTCTGCCTTCTGCGATCCCCGTGTGCTAACAGGCTTTGAAGGTCCATCGATTCAATATTTAACTGAGGGAACGAATGAATGAGAACATGCTGTCACACTCAATGCTGACGCTGATCACCTATGATCGTTTTAGGGGAATCGGGATTTTATGGGCCTTAGGGTTATCATTAAGAATTCTAGTTATCACTGCTCTAGAGTTCGGATTGAGAAAATACCAGATTAATTTGAAAGGGGCCTTTAACGCACCTTGCAAACCTGTAGGCCTGCAGATGCATTAAAACAAGCGACTTGAAATTTAGGCGGCTATGGTCATTCCGCTCCCAAAGAGCTGTCATCCCTTCGCCACTTTGCTTCCTGTCACGAGGGCTATATTTCTGGGGGGGGCTTTGCTAACCTGAAGAAAGATAATATCCACATTGGAAACTTTCTCACTAAGCCAGAAAGATTCTGTATCCCTATTTCTTTAGCAATCGGCTATCCTAAACAAATCTGAACAGATGGCGCTGTGTTGCCAGAACTACTTGGGATAAGATTGACTTTTGATAATCACCAGCATATTCTTAATGGTACTAATAGCTGCTGAATTATCGTTCAGAGCTGGTGACAGGCATCTGTGTTTTCTAAAAGAAGCTTATGATTCTGGTGCTCACTGAGCAGGGCTGAGAAAACCTGGCGAGAGCAAGTTTGAGGACAGAGTCACAGGACCCACCAGCATTTAAGAGGAATGGGAGGAGGGGGGCATGTCAGGATCGTTGCTCATAATGAACTGTGACTGGTGACGTTATTAACAGTATGGGCTTCCCAGGCAATACAAACTAGGGCCCAGAGAGCACACAACCTTGTTACAGAAAAGCCAAGCTCATTTCACGTTATAAGATGATATTTTCACGAAACATATTGAAAATGATTGTGCGTTCTCGATAACACAATGAATTATTTTTTCCTAACGGGATGACTGGATCTTGCTATTCTAATTAGCTGACATTTCCAATACTGTTTAAATTGATTATGGCCTCCAGAATGAAACGAGACGGGGCTTATTGGCCTCACCAGTAAAAAGAATTATGGGAAATGCCCTTAAGTTCACCTTCAGGCACTACCTGAGAAAAGGAAGTGGAATCCTTCGAGTCCTTAAGGAATTTAGTAGAGTTTAAATCCTTGATTTAAGCATTAAAATGGGGTTACGTTGACACTCCTTTAAAGTGTTTGTGTGACCCTGGGAAAACTACCTGAGCCCTCACACCTCACTCAGTTTCCTCATCTGTAAAATGGGGATAATAACAAGACCCGTGTCCTAAAATCGTTATAAGGATTAAATGACACAATGCGTGTAATGCAATGGCACAGACCTAACGTTTCATAAACGTCCGCTTATAAAGTTTTAGACCAATGACTAAACAACACCACAGACAGTGCCCGCTTAGCACTCAGCGCTCCTAACACAGGACGCCGCGACATGCTTTAAACCTAACGCCTCTGACTCAGGCCTCCGAGAAAGAGGGGCTTTTCCTGGGCTGAAAAACAGACCACTTTCACGATGGACCACATTCCTCAGCTATTTGAAAGATTAGCTTCAAAGATTGCTTTGAAGATTTATGTCCCCAAGAGGTTATTCGAGGTGTGGTTGAGCCTGGCTGGATGGCAACGCAGCTCAGCTGGGGGAAATGCCTCCCCCACATCTTGACGAGAGAGATAAGAATAAGGAGGTCCTGTAGGCATTGCTATCCAGCCGTGCTAAGGAGTTATAGGCATTCTGGTTAATCACTTATTCACCCATCAGTTGGATAAATGAGGATCCACTTTGTGCTGAGCAAAATGCTAGGTACTGGGGATACAAAGATCAATGCCTTGCCTCGAGGAAAGGAGCCTACAATTTAGTGAAAAAACAGACGTGCAAATGTGCGTTGCCATTTAAATAAGTGCCATGATTTGGGGTATGAACAAAATGCCGTGGGAGCAGAGAGGAAGACCCCACCCCCCCACTTCCTACCACTTAGGCAGTTGGATAGATGGTGATCTCACTCACCCAGACTGGGACTCCACAAGGAGCAGCAGTTCTGGGGAAGGACCTAGGTCGGGTTTTTGTTACATTGTTTGAAGTGCTTGTGCAACATCTTCTAAACCAAGAAGTCTTAAAGCAGTTGAATGAATGGGTCTAAAACCCGCTTTTAGGAGAGATGTCGAGGTCAGGGACCCACATGTGGAGGTCACTAGAATGTAAGTAGTAGCTGATGGGCCTGGACGATAGCACCTTAGAAAAGTGTTAGCGTTGAGAGATACTGTGAAACACTGGTATTTAAAGGGCGAGCGGAGGAAAGGGGGCCAGAAAAGACAACAGAGAAGGAATAGAGAGGAACAGGATCCAAGAGAGAAGGAGCAAGATCAGAAAATCAAGAGGGATTTTCGAGACAGTCTCCATTTTTTCAAAATATGACTTTAATGGCAGAGTTAGTTTACTACTATTCCATACAAGGATTGCCTCATTTTCAAAGAACCTGCAGTGTCTTACAAGCATTTAAAGATTGAGAAAATAAATTAGAACCTTGTAATGCACGCTTAACGCTAAATCTATAGAGCACAGTATAACTTTTAGATGGTTCAGAAGGCACTTGGGGATTTTTGTTTTAGTTCCTCAGGGCATCATTATGAACTCTAATTACTGTTGTCCTGGTCGGCTATGGGGGTGCTGATGAACGGAGAGGTAACTGACCTCTGGAGAAACCAACCTTTACTCCAAATGAGAAGTCTCCCTAGCAGTGACAGAGAAGGGGTGGTCGGACCCCAGCTCAGGCTAGGAAACCAGCCAATGCAATCAGGGATATGAACCCATCAGAGAAAACGAAAAACCTTGAGTCCTTTCAGTTCCTCCCACCCCCATGTGGATATGTGAGACGTGTGACCTACAGGGCAAGTTCAGAGAGCAAATCGAGCTCCCATCTCAGTATCCTAGCACGATAGAGACGATGATGACATCCACACACAGGCGCGTCAGGTCCTCTCGGTAGACACCCAGAAGCCTGGATCTGAGGTCATAATGGTCTGACCTACACTTAAAATATTGAGTTTAATGGAGCCAAGACCAGCTGACATACACCTGTTTCCAAGGCTGAGCCTTCTCCGGACGGGGCAGGGGGATGGGAAGGCGGTTGGTGGTCGTGTCCTAGCTGACATCCGGGGCTAAGTGGATTAACTGACGTCCTCTCTGGGCGTTGATAACAAAGTCGCTCCATGCTCACCAAGACGACAAACTTGAGCAGAGGTGTTAGAGGGTCATTCTCCCCAGATTCTGGCACTGCCGTGACCGCAGCTGGTCAGAGAATGAGGGCTTCTCCATGACAATCAAGACCGTCAACATGGGAATAATCCCCCACTTGTCCTTGCCGGGTGGGGTGACTGGGTTTCGCAAGGCGTTTGCTGAATTGCGCAGCTCCCGATGCCACAGGAACAGGAAGAGAGATGCTGGCAAAGGGGGAGGAGCTGGCCGGGCGAGGGCCGGGGCCGCCCGCGGCTACCGTGTGCTGTCTGTGTGGATGCGGGCAGCTGAGATCTTCACCAGAATCACGTGGAGTCGGGCTATTCATCATCGTCGTCGTCACTGTCGTCGTCATCCTCCTCATCGGAGTCGTCGTCGTCATCGTCATCGTCACCGTCATCGTCATCTTCGTCATCTTCATCCTCATTGTCATCGTCCTCGGTGTTTATCTTTCCGGAAAGCACATCCTCAATCCATTCTTCCAGCTCCTCCACTGTGGGCAGGTCATCGTCACTCAGAATCTCCATCCAGACACTGTCGGCCTGCGGACGAGGGGCAGGATGCGTGGGTGAGCGCAGGCACGAGGCGTGAGCCAGCCCAGGGCGCTGAGCAGCTGTGCTGATGGGCCCCAGGTCACTCGCACAGCGTTAAATGGAAATGCCGGGTTGCAGAATTACATGTGCAATGTCTCGTTTGTGTAGCATGAAAGGAAAGATGTACTCCATGGGATGGATATGTGTGTACGTGTATACTCTGTGCAAAGGGTTTTGGGAAGAAGGGGAGTAGGCGAGGAGGCAGGGCTGTGGGGGGCGGGTAGGGGAGTGGGCCAGACCCAGCACCGAGACTGGCGGCTGCTCCAACCCCACCAGAGATGCCACCTCTCCGCCCACCCACCCACCCACCCCTAATTTTTGCCTTGCCTCTCCATCCTGGAAAATCCCTCTGAGTCACCAGTACTGCTTTGATAGAGCCCACTCCCTACCCTAACCTGCCCCTCTCCCTGCCCCCCACCTTAGCTTAATACTGTGGGGACATGCGGGGGGAGGCTAGGAGGCAGCCCAGGAGTGGGGCGGTCCCCAGAGGCATCGAAAGCAGGCCTTATCGTAAATTGTTGTTGTATTTCTACTGCCCCCTCCTCGAGTACATCAGCATATATGCAAGATACCTGTACCATAGCAACGAATACATATACAGTCACCAATGGTTCCCTCGGGAAATGGGACTAAGGATGGGGTCGGGGCAGTGGAAAGTGCTTCCGTTTTTCTCCTAATATCCATCCTACTGTTGTTTCAAAATATTGTAACTCGATCGCATTTTTTAAATTATTATTCATGTCGTTATTAATTTAAAAAGCCGTTTACAAAATACATAAATGTGGAATACCCCAGGTGACCGAACACGTACCAACAGGGTAGAAGGGCATGTCACTGGCCCCCAGTCACCAGAGTTTCCACCACGACTGACTGTGGCTCCGCCGGGTGCTCTGGGACCGTCCCTTCTGTCCATGTTTTGCCTGGTTGTATCTGTCCCCACTTCCGTGTTGTCACGGTGGGCTCACATCGGATTTCTGGACTGACGTCTAAAATTCCGCATGCTCGGCAAGTCCTCCTCACTAGCCTTCCCCACCCTCAGTTTGGTGGCATGTGAATGGTGAGAAGTCCCCTCCTCCCGCGTGGTCTGCTTCCTGCCCTCGGCAGGCCCGGTCTCCGGCCTCCAGTCCCGGGGGCCAGGTGGTCGCCCACATGGGCCATGGCCGCCCCATCGCCCACCACACAGTGCCAGCTCCAGGTGTAGGCTAAGACACCTTGTTTAGGGGCATTGGGAGAAAATACGGGATGGTTTACTTGGGTGGAAATTTCCAAATAGATAGTTGAACCAGGTCAGGCTGGCCCCATAAGCAAGGGAAAGTGCCCGTGTGAGAGAACTGTGGACCCATAGGCTGGGGCCGGCTCAGAGAGCATCCTGGCAAGTTTTCTGCTTGGGCAGGGCCAAGGGTCCTGCTCGTTTTATGAGGGCCTGGACTCCTACACATGACCTCCCAGTCTGGGCTGCATGGCAGCAAATGGGGCAGGCTCTGGGTGCCTGAGCAAGCTTTCGTGGGGCATACTCACATCTGTCACATTCACCACCCCAATCTGCGGCTTGAATAGGTCAATCTTGAAAGTCTTTTCCCAATAGGCGACAAGCTGTGGCAACAAAAAATAAAATTAGACAGTGGGCAGAGGGCAGTCCATGTTAAAACCACTTTTTGTGGCTGGACCCACCTGCCATCCCATACTGTAAACAGATCACCATCAGTTCAAGGTCTCAAAACAGCTGTGGGCACTTAGGAAATTGAAGAGTTGGTCCCAGCCCTCAAGCCCTCCAAATAAGCACACACGAAAAGGATGTCACGACACAAACTATGAAAACATGTAATTTAAAAGCTTCCACAGCTGTAAGGAAGACCATTACGGACATGGTCCAAAGTCGATTCCCAAATGACATGGGGCTCTTTTATAGTTTATGGGTGGTAGAGGAGCCATTTCCCTCCACCTTTCTTTCGATGTCCTATTTAAAAACCCCTTACCTGGTGCCACTCTGCGACATGAGCGGGCTGCTCAGGGAGTGACGTGCCATAGGCCGGCATACGAGTGAAAGGAGTTTCTTCATTGGCCAGGTTTGGGTCCCACATGGACTCATCCCTGGCCAGAGAAGCACTAAAGGAGTCAGAGGCCACGGGGCTAAGGAAAGGGAGGTGGGCAGGGGGAGGAAGTCTCCCCAGCAAATACTGGCCCATGGGGACTGGGGATAGTCAGGACCCAGAAATCAGACTGGTCCGCAGTCTTCTCTTTTGCAAAAGGCACGTGGCACTGCAGGTCATGAGAACTGCAGACCATCTGGAAGGTTGCGTAACAAAACAGTCCAGATAAACTAGAAATATAACCAGGCGGAGACTAACTAAACAAAGCTATAGTATATAGGGTCTTACAAAGCCATGACCTTATTATGTTACCCAGAATTATGACATTGACCTCAGGTGTCATGGAAGTCAACCTTTGACTCACTCATCTTTGTATGTAGGATTGGGTTTCAGGACCCTTGCAATCACTAAAATTTTACGCTCAATTTTGCAACAAATGATGATTCCTGGAAGAAAGATAGAGTTAGCATTTATAACCTAATGATAGACTTGCAGCAGTTACCAGGAGTTAGCTCAACCTGAAGTCTCTTGACTAATAGACAAAGCATCACACAGACCCGGGCTGGTCTGTCACGTCAGCCACTTACAGTTTTAGCCTCTCCAGCTGTCATTCTTTTCACCTGTAACACCGGGATTCTAACAGTCCCTACTATCTTAGGGTTGTTGAGAGGATTAGACGAGGTGACGCATGTAAAGAACTTATAGTTCCAGGCATAGAGTATATTAGCTACATGTATTATCGTTATCACGAAGCTCGTGTATTGTACAAATTCTTTTTATTCACTTTAAAACTAAGCATAATCAAGGCCTTTTGGCCATTGGTCGCTGACACTGGCTAGAGTTTGGACTCGAAACTCTTACACATTCCAGTCCAGCACTAGACGTTCTGCTAGGACGTGGGAGAACACACGAAGAAGACAGGTGGGGTCTCTGGCCTCTAAAAGGTTGCTCCTTCTCGCCATGAAGTTCTTAACTCAATGCAAAATGTTCACGTCTGATTTTCATTGCTTAGTAACTCAGGCTGCCTCAGAACGATGGTCCCCACCCAGAAAATGACAGGGGTCATAGCAAGGGGTGGCGGTGGAATGAGGCACAGCTCTGGAGCTGCTGGCAGAAGAATTTCACCCAGCTCACTTGCGTGGGCCCTGGAAAGAGACTTCTGGTCTCCAGGGAGCGAAAACAATGGAGTCAAACCACGTCAGGGTCAGCACCAGGCCCCAAGTTCAATGTTGCCCGAGTGGTCAAGATCGCCTACCCTAGATGGAGGTGGCCACTGGGTTCCTGCAAACGCCTCTCCCATTTCACAGCCTCTTTCATGCAACAGGGTCTCACACTAAACACAAATGCGAGCCCGCGAAGGTGGCCAAGGGTAGGGCCCCCGTCTGAGCCACTCACCAGAGGAAAGTCGTCCGGGTCGATCCACACGATGCTCAGGTCGGGGTTGTCCGTGTTGTCCCGGGCCACCTGCTTCAGGATCTCCAGGAACTCGTAGCCATCTGAAGCAGGGTTGAAGAAGGCCGAGTTACCCCTGAGCGAACATGGCTTCTAGCATGGAGAGCAAAGAGTGTGGTTTTTCCACGAGGATTTCCTAAGCCATTCGCTGCGTACCCTCAATTATAGGATTATTCCATAATATGAGTCAGAGGAGCACTCCAGCCACAAAGCAGCTTATTCAAAGGAAACAATAAAATTTTTGCATAAAGAAATTAGAAGTTCACAGGGAAGTGGCTGCTTCGTAACTGGGAGCCGAGCTCCATTTGCTAATCTGCATGTGAAAAATCGACCAGCCTTGAGCCAGGAACTTCAGTGCCACAACCGGGGAACTCCTGCCCGGTCCTCAGTGCTCTGTGCCCGCTCTTGAAACCCATAATTTGCTATCCCTCAGTGTTCCTATAACATTTGTTCCAGGGACCAAGGACATTTAGCCTGGACCCTTAATTTTCTGCAACCTGGAACTCCTAAAACCTTCATACTAAAGTGAGTTTCTGCTTTATAGTTGGTTTCCTAGTTTTGAGATAGTAAATGGAGTTTCCCTCTCTCCTCGGCTATTTCCTGGTGTGCTCTGCCCTCCCCCTATTCAGTCTGCAGTGTTCATTGACCCCAGGGGAGGGATGACTCATAAGAAAAGCAGAGACAAGCCTTTCGAGCCTCAAGAATACAATTTTCTTTTTTAGTTTTAAAAGCTTAAATCTTGAAGGACTGGGAACATAAAACTTGTGCCGTAAACAAACATTTTGGAAGAATGTTTAGTACAAGAAAGCATACTCGAAACCCTCAGCCACCTCGCCCCACTCCCAGCTGGGAGGAGAGTAGATTCTGGAAAGTCCCTGAGAATAAGGGGTGCGTGTGTGTGTGTGCGTGCGTGCGCGCGCGCGTGCATGAATGCAGGCCAATGCGTGCATATGTGTCCACATACGGTAATGTCATCGTTTCAGGAATCCTTGAGTGTAGGGGACCCATGCTTTATTTTAGAATGAAACACAGGAAAACAGAAAGGCCATAGAATTTCTTGGAGAATCCCCGGTACTGGGGTCCGGGGTAGAAAAGTCTGTCAGGAGGCTCCGTTGAGCTGTCTGTGGTTCTGAGGAATATGGGTGAAGCTGAGACAGGCGCAGATCCAGCCTCTGGGATGGAGGGGACCACTGGGTGACCTTCTTGGAACAAAACTAGAGGCCAGAATGCATGACAGACTTCTCTGCAGATGCCACTGTGCATAGGGGATGATGATGGTGACGCTGACCAGACGTACACTTCACCCCTCTATGCCTGGGAACCAGCAAGACACTGGCCCCCTAGGGATGGTGGATGGGGGCGAGGGGATCACCCCGGTTTGTCAGAGCCGGTTTCCACTATCCGGTGGTAAAACTGAGCTTCAGCTCTAGACAATAAAGTTATATTTCTCACACACCTGAATTTGCGGCCTGAAATGTGCACCATGTATACAAGCCACTCACCAACTGCTTACGAATTCAGTCTGGCAACTGTCCTTTCTTCGTAAAGGTTTTCTTTTGTGGGGCATCCCAGCCACTTTGAGCCCCTCTCCCTGGCCTCTGTGTAACAAGCCTCTCCTCTCCCAGGCGCTGTAGCGTTTGTTTGGCTACTTGGTAAACTTTCTCTGCACTTTCTCATTTTCTGATACATTCCGGGCAAGATGCATACTGTTCTCAGCAGCTCTGCTTTGAGCGGGTGTAGTCACTTTCCATGCTGTTAACTCTTAAGATTCAGACTGGACCCCTTCAGGCCTTGCTACCTGGCAAGCAGAGCTACTGCTAGGGCGAAGAGGGTCTTCATGGCCTGCAGCCTCTTCCTGCAGAGATGAGGGTGGCCTGGGTGATCTTTCCATCTGTGACAGATCCTGAGATCGATAGGGCCGTGTGTGTGCTTTAAAGATCATTATCTATCATCGTGGGGGTCGGGGTGGAGGTGAGGTTGGGGTACAGGTGGGGTCGGGCTCTTCCTCCTGCTCCCTGCAGGTGTGGCGGAGAAGGTCAAGCCCCCCAGAGTGCCACTGGCTGCTGCCACCTGGACACTATGGATCCTGCTCCTCTGGGCAGGCTGCCGTGTCACAGGACAGGGAACATGGTGCCAGCTGGGTTATCTGTGGATTTCTGTATCAGAATACACAGACCACGAGGAGGCGTTCCTCCAAAACATCTTCAGCGACTCATTTTAACAGCTGAGAAAAAAAGCATTGTAATAAAGTACTCTGACAGGACTCTGCAAGGTGAGAATGACCAATGTGAAAGTGACCTTGACACATCAGAAATTCATTGCATTGTAATAAAGTACTCTGCCAGTCCTCTGCAAGGTGAGACTCAAATGTGAAAGTGACCTTGACACATCAGAAATTCAAGAGGTCTACTACGGCCAGGCCACCCTGAACAAGGCCAATCCTGTCTGATCTCGGAAGCTAAGCAGGGTCGGGCCTGGTTAGTACTTGGATGGGAGACCACCTAAGACCAGGTGCTGTAGGCGTAAAAAAAAATTGAAATAATACAAATTCATAAAGAGGATGAAATCCAACAACAGAGACTCCAATTCAGGTAAAAAGTATACTTGAGGTACAAAACGCTACATGAAGGGAAGGAAGAGCTAGTCGACACAGGCATTGCAGAGGACGAGACTGTGACCACGGCAAAAGCTGCACACACGACACGGTGCTGTGGCTCTGACGGGAAAAGCCCACAATGGCGGGATCGACAGGGAGGAGCGAGCTACGGGAGGCCGTTCTGTTCTACATCCTAAGAGCACATACGGGGATAAAAAGAAAAAGATTATAGGAATAAAAACGAGGTTCTGCAAGAAAACTCAAGTGGGTTGGAGTTTTTACATAAATAAGAGAATTCAGAATCGCGGCTTATTGCCTATTTTTAAGAATACGAAAGGGTTTTGGGTCTAGAGAGGAGCGAGGAAAGCTCGGAAAACATGCACGGAATAAATTAATAAATGAGACCGACGTTAAAGTCAGAGGAGTTTCATCCGGAACCCAGGGCAGGTGTTTGACTTTCGGGATGAAAAGTTCTAGAGCGATGGTGCCTCTGCCTCCCCGGAGGTCTTCAAGGACAGAACGGAGCCTGCTCCCCGGGAGGCAGCCCAGCATGACGCTCCACACACGGACACTTGGGGCAAATGACCTTGCTCAGGGTCCCCGTTCTGCCGTTTAGAGTGTCACTTGGTTCTTCATCCGTAAAATGGGGGTGATGATAATAACAGCACCTATTTCATAGGGCGGTTGCGAGTCAAATGAGTCAGTGTCTAAGGCGCTGAGGCAGGGCCTGGCACACAACACGCTTTCGTCGTTATTCTTCTTAAATGATCTGGAATTATTCTACCCGAATAAGAGGGAGCTGGCCATTTATCTGTTCATTCAACGCAAATGCATCGAGTGCAAGGATCTGGGAACAAGGGGTGGGTTGGATACAGTCTTGGCCCAGGTGACAGAGAAGACACGCTCGCAGGAAGTTAGACCAGGAGATAGTATGACATGGCACAGTTCCTTCTGGCCCCTGTTGAATCTGTGACCGAAGGCTTCAGGGGTGGCCGTGCCAGCTGGTGTGACTATGAGACTTTTGCCTCGGTATGTAGTTTAGAGCAAAGTTGAATTCCTACGTTTCAAAGTCCTTAAGCCACCCAATCTATTAGTTTATGAATATTTATTGAGCACTTCCTGGGCGCTGAGTTCTTTTGCATTCAGTCTTCACATCTGGTCCTGCTGGAGGTTAGCAAGGTTTTATTGTCTGCACGTGAAAGAGGGTGGAGTCGAGACGGCAAGGAGAGCCCGTGACTTGCCCGGCATCAGGTGCCGTGACTTGTCCGGCATCAGGTGCCAGCACGGGGCAGAGCTTTGCTTCTAACGCAGGTCTTTGGTCTGCTCGTCCAGAGCCGTTTCCACAATGCACGCTCCCGCTGAGGTCTGGGCTCCCCTCCCGAGGCGCTGCCGTCTTCCTTCCTCCAGCCGTGCTGAGGTCCTGCAGCAGCGTGCAAAAGCGTCAACGTGAGGGAAGCCAGGGCCGGGGCCCGAGGAGGCAGCCGGGGTGCAGCACGGGGCCGGTGGGGGCCTCTGCCTTCCGCCGAGGCAGTCGGACTGTCCCTTCCCGTCCTTCGATCCTGAGGCTGAGCCACATCGTCCCCACAGCCACAGTCTGCTTGGTTGGTCTGCTCAGCGATGTCCCTGAGTGCACCTGGAGTCTCAGAGATCGACCTAAATAAGAAGGAGGAGCCTGGCTCTGTGACAGCTGTGACTCCTTCCCCGTCACACGGGCTGGGACCCCGAGATCCCGTGACCCCGGGCCTAGGGCTCCTGCTAGCCAGGGTTCCCACGGCAAGCGAGGAGCTCGGGGATCACATCTTGTGGGAAGGGAGCCGGCGAATCTGCCCTCCGCCTTCCCGGGCGGCGAGGGGCCAGCGGGAGTGAGGCTGCACGGAGCCCCGGGGACCAGTTCCAGGCCAGCCGCCACCATGTCAGGATCCAGGGCTCTATTTGGCAGAGACCAAGCAATGGCCCAGGGGTGACAGGCGCACAGCGCACTGCCCACCCTGCCCTTGCTCCGTCCTCGGAACTGGTGATGCTCAGCATAAAGCCACTGAAAGGCCCCTCTCTGCTGCCTCGCCACGTGGAGTTACGGAGCTCAGGATCCTGCTCCTGGAGACAGGTCAAGGCTTGCGGAGCCAGGCTGTGAGGCCCGTCCTGCTGTTGCTCAAGCAGCAGGCGACACAGGTAAGTAGGGTGGGGTGGGGCGGGGCGCAGACATCACCCCGTCTGGACACTGTGTCTGGACGGGGCACCCGTCTGGGGTTTGAAGACCCCGAACAGGCACAGGTCTCTTAACCCGTCTAGGACTTTTGTTTCCGCATCTGAAATGCAGAGAACACCTGCTTCCTGATCTCGGCGGCTCCTTGGTCACACTGCTGTCATGGGAGACACCTGCAGAAAGCAAAGGTCTCCTCTGCTTCCTTTCCCTCCCCTGTCTCACCGACCTTTCACTCATTTTAATGTTTTTCACTGCGTTCATCCTTCATGGATGGGACGAACTCATTCTGTCATTGGGCAGGTAGGGTCTCAGTGCCTATCACGTGTCAGGTCGAAGGCCAGGTGACTGTCCTCTGGTCCCCTCTCAGAGGGATCTAGTTGGTCCTCAGGCCAGAGCCTACTGAGTGTGGGATTCTCAAAACGCAGCATCTGAACCTGGGCTCTTGAGGACCCTCGGGAGGACAGTCAAGGTCGGGACGTCCCCTGACATGGTAGAGTCACCCAGTGACATGTTAAAACAGGGGGACGTTATGTGGGACCCACGGTCCCGAGATGGCACTTGCGACGTCTGAACACCCTGCCACTCCCTTCCACAGTTCGTCTTCCTTCTCCTGGCCCTCGGGCCCCAGAATTGGTGAAAAAGTCCATCACCGGGGTTTTGGGATGGAAAGAAGCATAATACGGGTGGTTACGGAGCCCGCGCTTGGGGCTGGCCTGCCCCGTTTGAATCCCAGGTCACCGCTTATTAGCCGTGTGGCCTCGGGGTGTTCCCTAACTTCTCCGGACCTTTGTTCCCTGTCTGCACATAGAGTTGCTGCGAGGTTGAAATGTGCCGATGCTTGTTAAGCCCTCGGAACAGCATTTAGCACTTAGCAGGAACTAAGTGTTAAGTCTGATAGATCACCTGTAGGTTTGGAAGCTCAAATAAGCAGTGAGCATTCCTACTTGAAGCCATGGGTCTCAAAACCACTTGCCAAGTACCCAAGGCAGTCGACGCTCGGTTGGAACAGGGCTTGGAGACGCACCTTCCAGGGCCCGTCACTGGCTGAGTCCCACACGTGCGGACGGCAGCCTGTCCTTGCATTTCTAGCTTGTTAGTGCGAATGTTCCCAGCCCCCTTGGAGCATATCCATCCAGCATGCGCTCATGTAGAAACGCCACTTGGCGAACCTTTCATCAAGTGTTATAAAGAAGATGTCAGCTCGATGCGGACACATCCCCAGGTCGGCAGGGGAGAGACGTTCCTTTTCAAACCTGTCAAATAGCTCAGGTGGCATTCTGAGCGCAGGAGCCCCCAGGACGCTCTGGAGAAGGGAGACGGGAGGCACACAGGGCGCAGGGTCGGAGCAGAGAGCTGGGACGTCCTTCCCAGCCAGGCGCCCCTCGGGCGGGTGGCAGATGAGAGCCTGCGGCAGGGAAGCCCCAGCGATTAGCTCCAAGGCCTGCAGAGGAGACACCGTGGGCAGTCTTTGCACACACGCTTGGCTGGGGATGTCGGGACTCCAGGAGAAGAGTCCTTGGGGGACCCAGGTCACTCGGATGCCCTTTGCTGCTGCTGCTGCTGCTGTGCGAGCGTGGATTCCAAGGCTGGGAACATCAGTGGGCAGCGGGGAGGACGTTCGACCTTCATTAACTGGCGCTCAGGCTTCCAGGTGGCTCCGCTCCTCCCCCTCCCCCACCCCCACTCCCACTCTGTGGCAGCCGCCTTAACATGTGCTCAGAGCCTGCAGCTGGCGGGGGCGGCCTAGGGGGGGTAGTGTGGTCTGCTGGACGGTGCCCAGGGGAGCCATCAAGAAGTGGAAGCTCTTGTGTCCTGTCTCCTGTGCCTCTAACCGTGGGATCTCGAGAGGGCAACTAAACTCATCTGGGCCTTTCAAATGTCGGGGGGGAGGGGTGGTGAAGGACAGCAGAGAGGAAGGAGGGCAGGCCGGATGTCACAATGTCGTGACTCTGAGGGCTGACAAGTCTGCAGCAGTGCCTTGCAGTTAAGGGCGTGGCTGGGAAGCCAGACAGCCCCCCACCCCCCGCCCCTGCCTAATTCCAGCTCCACTGCTTCCCAGCAAGTCGACCTCTCTGGCCTCAGTTTCCTTGGTTGTAAAACGGAAATAAAACTAGCACGTGAGGTTGTCGTTACATAAACACCAGATGAGTGATCATCATCATCATCATCTTCATCTTCATCATAGTCATGATGAATTCAGACGGCGAGTGATTTGGACAAGTTATTTACCCTCGAAGACTCACGTTTCTCATCCGGGATGGTAGTAGTCATGCAGACGTCACAGGGTGGCTTCAGGGGCCAAAGGACATCGTCTCCGTGAAGCTCACGGCACACTTCCTCAGACTGCTGGCTCTTTACAGAGAGCCCTGTTATTCTCCTAGATGCGTGACCTTCTTTCTTTGGTGAGCGGGGCAGGGGTTTGTTTGGGGCTTTAGGCCATGTGTCACTTCTTAGCCAGAGCAAGGGTACAGGAGGTCGGACCCACTGTCTGGGCAGGAATGAAATTCCTAGTCTGGCAGCCAGGCCCCTCTGCCCCGGGTCACACATCAGCGACCTGCGGGTAATGACTGACTAGCCAGAGTCAGGCACTTTCACAGAACAGCCTCTCTCTTTCTCAGCCCTGAGCAGGCCAGGCCCGCCCTCGCTGCACAAAGATGCTTCCACCCCCACGGCTTCCAGCTCCTCAGGAGCAAGCCCCAGCTCGGGCTCCTGCAGGAAAGACAGAGCTTCGGGCCTAGGGATATTTGTGTAGGGAGGAGGTGGAAGGCGTTTCAGGAGCTTGATTCATGACAGCAGCAATCTCGGTCAAACAGGTTCCTGCAACTTCTCCAGGCCTCTTTGTTCCATTGTTCTGAGAGCCAGACAGGCCTCCCCACACTCCTGGGGAGGGGCAGGCGGGGGGCTGGAGGAAGGTCCCCTGGAGTCTGGCCAGCGGGCTGCTGCTGATGGCAATGTCCTCTCTGTTCACACAGCACCAGGGATCCGATTCCCTTTGATTATAGCTTGTAAACCTGGGGCAACTGGCTTCCTTTGCCATTTTCTCCTCCAGGGGCAGAGGGGTGGCCAGAATCCGTGGGAAGAAACTGGAACCACGCTGGCCATTTTTTTTCGGACAAGGACTAGCTAGCTCTCTTTGAAGAGTTTTTCTAACTCTGCAAGTCATTGATGGGCAAACTGGGACAGCAACGGACATTCAAAAATATCTAACAAAAAAAGGTGGGGAGGTTCTCAGATACTTTGGAGCATAAATTAGGTTGTGAGACAACGGAGCATTATTCGGCCCTCAAAAGGAAGGAAGTACGGATACAGGCCCCCAAAAGGACGAACCCTGGAAGCATGGCCCTAAGTGAAAGATGCTGGGCGCCAGAGGCCACACGTTGCACGGTCCCCTTTACACGAAACGTTCAGAATCGTCAAATCCACAGAGACAGATTCGCGGTTGCCGGGGGTGGGGAAAGGGGAGGCGAGCAGCTGCTGTCCGGTGTGGAATCTCCTTCCGAGGTGATGGGAGTGTCCTAGAATTAGTGGTGATGCTCGCACAACTTTGTGAATGTACTAGAAACCGCAGAATTGCCTACTTTAAAAAGCTGAATATATTGTGTGGATTGAAAAAATTTTTTTTAATCGTTTGATAAAATAGTCGGGGTTTAGTCTATAAGAAACTAGGGTGGCTGATAATATGTTACCAAAAAAAAGAAGAAAACAAAGCTGGTCTGACAGTGAAGAGTGGGGGCTCAGTCTTGGTCAGGCACCTGCCTATCTAATCATCTGCCTGACGGGTACTTATTGGGCGCCTACTGTGTGTCGAGGTATGTGCGAGAACCAGATCTGTACTGATGAACAAGACAAGGTCCCTCCTTCGGGACCTCCCACTAAGCCACTGTGCCCTCTTGGGCGGTTTAACTTCTCCAGCCTCTGTTTCTCCATCTGCCCCTGTGAATGTGCAAGAGGCTGAGGTCCAGGCAAACACTACAGAGTCTACGGCGCCTGGAGCAGCGGCTCCCAAACCTGACGGTGTCTCAAAAACTCACCTCCGAGCTCCGTGAAGTAGCAGGGTCCCCGAAGGTCCCATTTCAGTCAGCCCGAGGGGGTCCTCTGCCCGTCAGGTTTTGGAACCCCTTCCCCAGGCCCCTCAGAGCCCGAGGCCTGGCGGCTCAGCCGTGGGCATGAACTTCCCTGATTCTCTGGTTGCGTTCTGAATTGTCCCTAAACGCACCTCAGGATCTCCACTCCCCCTGTCTCCTCAGGGGACCCTTTATCTTGCAGAGCACTGCCCAGGGGACCCAGCATTTTACCATCTGAAAAATCAATTTTCCCTGCACTTCGCTCTCCACTGATGTTAAAAAGAGCAACATCAGGAAAAAGTTGTCCAAGTTCCAAAATGAAACAGAGTCACTCATCCATTTTTACGGTCATTGTGCACTTTAGAAATCAGCGGCTTGTTTGGCTCCGTTCTCATTATTTGGGAGAAAATTTTCCATTAAATTTCCTAAGCACAGACAATATTCGACAGACCAAATTGTTATTTTAAGGAAGGACTGTTGTTTATATAAGCTAGGTCACACAATGGGGGTAAAAACTTTTAATGTGAAGAGACGTTTACACACACACACACACACACACACACACACCCACACCCGTAAAGCTAGGATGTTTTTATACCCTCCCAGTACTCAGGGACTCTTCCCAGTTTGGGCAGCTGGGCAGAATGAGGTTCTGATCTCTCCACAATCTTGTCTCTTAGCTGTGTGCACAATTGAAGGTGGATTTGGACCCGGCAGGCGACCGCCTGGGGCTGCCCCATGTCTCGTGGTTGCATTGTAGACGGGTGGTGAGGGAAGAGAAAGGGTGAGGGCTGACAAAGGGGAGCAGCCAGTTCTTGCTTCAGGTGTCAAAGAACAGATGGGGACAGGGTCGGGGGCGGGGGCGGGGGGGAGGTTCCTACCTGGGTCGCTCTTCTCTGCAAAAGCCACTATGTGGATCCCGTTCAAATCATCCTCCTGTGGGAGAAGAGAATCGAAGGTTACACTCCCGGGTGGAGATGCGAAGGAGTCGGGGACGGACTCAGAGTCTGGAATGGAAACGGGAGGTGAGGGGCGGCGGACGGCGGGGGGACACAGGGGCACAGGGGAACTCAGCACACGTGAAGGGAGGAAGCGCCAACGAGGCCTGGGAGGAAGTCGTGGCGTTTGATAAATGGGTTTGCGAGACGGGAAAACGCCAACTACAGAAAGACATGAGCGCTGAACGGGCCTCTCTCGTGGTCCGGGGGTCCAGGAGAGCGGCAGCGGGAGGCAGAGGAGGAGGAGAGTGAGGCTGGCCCATCAAGAGCTCTGCGGGCACCAAGCGCTCGGCATAGCTCAGTGAATGCGATGTCGGCCTGAGTTTCGAGAATTCGCCACCAGCGAATGTGAATCAGTGATACATCAGATGATGCAAACTTCTGGGTGCTGCTGACAGATCCTGAAACTGTTCCCAAGCAGGGGATAGAGAGGAATCTCTGAGGGACATTAGGACGTGGGTCTGCTTCGTTCACACGAGGGTAGTGTTTCTAAGACAACACTCACTGAAAGCCCATGCGGTCAGCAGGGGGTGCTTTGCTGTCACTTCTAAGTTGTTGCCTTGGGTTCCTTTCTGCACTGGAACCAGAGTTTGCAGAAGCAGGCTAGGCCTCTAACACATGTCTAGGAGTGCGGGAGGCTACAAGAAGAGTGTGGAAATTCGGGACTGGGGAAAATTGAGGATGCGATGGTGAGACGTGGGTTTGGCTACTGCATCGGTGCGAGGCAAAGAATCTAGAGAGCGTGCTTCGAATCTATGTTCTGGACAGAAAGGACCCTGTATATGCCTTGGGTCTCTTTTGCATTGATTATTACTGAAGAAGGACGAGCGAGAGCTTGGAGGGACCTGGTTATCAGGAACGGAGGAGACTTGGAGAGGAATCTGTGTGAGGATGAGGCACCAGGGACAAATCTGCGAATGCTGATTACCACTGATACGGGGAGAGGGATTCACTGGGCCTCCGGAATGTCATATCGGAATCATCCTATGGGGAAGAAAACTCTAGGCATCTCCACCCTCCCATGATTCCCGTTTCCATTTCAATTGATTTTAATGCCGGTGCAAACCTATCTAAATGCTAATTTCCCCCACCCTGTGTTTGGCATGGACAAAACCTCCAAAAATTCTGAGAGAGATTCAATGGAAAATATTATTATTAAAAACAAGAGAGTGGGCACTGCCTTGGTCAGATCTCTGGGGAATTGAATTTTACAGATATATACGCGCGTGTGTGTGTGTGTGTGTGCGCAGGTTTATTACACACACCTGACAGCAGCCAGAAGGGGAGTCTAAGGTTTCCCTGTTTTACATTTGCCATTATCACCAGACAGAATACCCCGATCAGTTCTCATTATGCTGCCCTGTGTCTCTGCCTCCTGCCGTCAGTGGAAAGACAGTGGTGTTAACTCCATGAAGCAGGTGTCCATTCCGTGTGCCCTTCTAGGATGCATTTGGAAATTGGTTTTAGAATTAAGAATCCATATTTGTTTGCTAAGAGACTGCTCATGATGTGGCTGTCACTCCCCAGGCCTCCGATGGTTCCTGGATGGAGAGCTATAACCAAGGGACAGACCTCTGTCCCTGTGGGTCTCAGAGACTCAGCACACAAGCCTGTACTGAACACCCGCAAAGAGGTAATAAATTCAGAGAGCCAGACCCCATGGGCCAGCCTGTAGGTCAGGGTTACTCAGTGCTTGGAGAGGCAAGCTGATTGTCCACAGGACTGACCACCCCAGGGGCTTTCTCTGAAGCCCACGGCCTGTACCCAGATCACTCATTTGGTCTTCAGATCATATTGTCTCGGAAATGATCCTTTTTACTGGAATGAATCTCCCCTTCTCAACCAGGTGGCAAGCTCTCTGAAGGAAGGGATTATGCTTTAAAATAACAGTGATGAAAAAAATGGTGACGGCCACGTCTACCATTCGCCACTCTTTGTATACGTACTTTGTAAGTACGTTATTTCTAAATCTCGAACGAAAGTCTTATTCCTGTTTAATGCCTAAAGAACGGAAGTGACTTACATAAAGCCACAGAGCCGGTGTGTAACATAACTGGGATTTGAGCTCATTCTGTCTGGCCCCAAAGCCCATGCTCTTTCTACCTACTGAAGGGGTCTGGACTAAGCCACTGTCACGTAGAAATTATCCTGAACTGAAGGCATTCGGATTCCTGAAATCCCTTATTTGCCTAAAAGCACGGTTGCTCGCTCTTATTATTTTTCAATCGAATAACACGACCCTTAGAAGGTTAAATTTTCGAAAGGTTGAAATGTTAGGAAAATATGTTTCTACTGTGCTGCGGTGTTCTTTAGCAGTTTGCTCATCCTGATGGTTATTTTCCCTTCAGTGTCTGATGAAACGTTTGCTCTACCTTCAGACATCCAGATAAGTTACCCACCCGTGAAACAGAAACCGTCAAGTTACTCCATCCCTTTAGACTCTGAATTAAATAATAAACAAATAGACAGGCGAATAAATAAATAAATACTTCCATGTGAATCCCTGTCTCCTCTCCCCTCACACCCTCACTGCCCAAACGGTGCCTCGTGGGGACATGGCCCACTCTAGGGAGGCATGCTGGAGAGAGCGTGAGGTTTGGCTGCGGATGGTCTGAACTTAAGTCCCAAGATCTAATGCTTCTCAGTTATGCATCCTTGAGTAATTAACTCAATCCATATGATCATCAGTTTCCTCATGTAAAATGGGACTAAATTAACCCTTGTTCTACATCACTTACCAGAACCGTTGAAAGAGCCAAGTAAAAAGATACGCGAAATACTTCGGAAAATGCTCCGCAGACTTTGCTTGTTATCGTTCAAAGAGTTTTGTATAAAACTGAGGTGGGGTGAGAGGTTGGACATCCACGACCCTCTTTCTAATACTGCTTGGCCCGCCTGACATATTGTCTGTGACTTTGATCTAGAGGACAGTCCAACTCAGCACTTTCCGGCAACTCGAGTTGATATGTATAAAAGCAGCTGCCATTCATTAACCAAGCACCGACCACGTTCTGAGCTCTTCACACCACTTACCCTAACAGAAGCTAAAGCTCAGAAAGATCACATGATAAAGCTACTGGTGGCAGATTCTGGATTTGATTCCAAGACTCTATATCCTGAGCTCTTTCCACTATGTCACCCTGAGTCTCTGGTGGCCAGTGGACAGATGCCAGTAGTCACTATGGGAAATGAGTTCAGAGATAGAATAATTTTGCCTAGTGGGTAGCACCAAATTGGATCCATGGAGAACTGGGTTTTAATTGAGCATGATGTTATCTATGCTTCAAATATTCTACCATCCAGACACCTACTTCAGCCAAACAAAACTTGGTTTGAGTTTTGGAACTCAAAGGGCTAGGACTCTTGGGAAATACATCAGCCTCTACAAGGCAGAAGAAGTTTGCCACTTCCTTACCCATGTTTCGAACATGTCTTCTGGGCGCAGGCGACGTAGGGTAGGTCTAAAAAACAAAAAAATGAGCTCCCTTGAGTAGGGATTACCTTGGCAGACACTGTGACACCGCAGCTTACCCCTTACCCTACTGTGTGCTCCTATGAGAATCTAATGCCTGAGGATCTGAGGTGGAGCTGAGGCGGTGATGCTGGTGCTGAGGAGCGGCTGCAGATACAGATGAAGCTTCGCTTGCTTGCCTGCCACTCACCTCCTGCTGTGCGGCCCAGTTCCTAACAGGCTGTGGACTGGTACCAGTCCGAGGCTTGGGGGTTGGGGACCCTTGCTCTAGGAACCAGGACTGACTGGGTGATGGAATCATAGTGCTCCAGGTAAATAAACATATGTGAGCATGTGTCCGGGAGGGTGGATGGGTGAGGTAGTGAACTTATTGTCCCTCCCTCAAGATCAGGGGTCAGCAAACTACAGCTGGTGGGCCAAATCCAGCCAGTACCTCTTATTTTTATAAATAAACGTTTTGGGGACACATCCGCGCCCAGTTGTTTATATAGTCTCTACAGCGGCTGCAACAGAGACCATCTGGCCCACAAAGCCCGAAATATTTACTATCTGGCCTTTTACAGAAAAAGTTTGCTGATCTGTGCTAGAGCTGCTCTAAGTGGCAATAAATATTCCTCTCCCAGAAGTTGTATGCATAGAATGTTCATCTTGGTACGTCACTTAACTACCCTGAGCCTAATTCCCTAATCTGTAAAATTGGGATAATACTACTTACCCTGTCATATTGACTCTTAGATAAAATAGCTTCCATAAGCACCTACCATGGTACTTGGCATATAGGAGGCTGTCCTTAAATCATTATGGCTTTCTCCTTATATCATTGTCTGACTCTGAGGGGATCTGCTGGCTGGGGATGGGTGGTCTAACCCCATCCGCAAGTGTAGACCCGTGTTCCAAAGATGGAGCAACACCCCTGCCCCTGATCAATGACCAACGAAGCCACTCTGGGGAGCTCGGCTCTGTGGCCGTGCTAACTCCCACAGATTGTTGCTTTTGGGGGTCTGAAGTGGCAGAACTAAGAGGCTCTGCGCCCCAGACCCCCAACCCCAACCCCCACCCCCCGGCATGCCATCTGGGGCACCTTTGATGATCCTTCACGAACTCCACGAGCTCCTCTTCCGTGTAAGGTTTGTCAGGGATGGCAATGGGCTCGTCCATGAACGGCTCGTAGAAGTCAACCTCATTCATCTTCAAGGACAATTTCTTTGCAACCTGCGACAATTAGACACACGGCAATAGTTTCTGTGAATGCCAGTCTAGAGCAGCAGTGGACGGTCCATCTACAAGGAATGTGTGTGTCCTCAGGCAAAGACACGAGCATGTATGGACGGTTTTAACTTAGAGGTTGAAATGAAAAGAACTCATCACCGAAGGCCTGGCTGGACCCCTCAAGGAAGGACAGAGAGGGAGGAAAAAACTTATCTGGCCAATGAGGACCAAGCAGGGGCAGGGAAGAGGTGGAATGGAAGGTGGGAAAATCTAATTCTACAGTCGTCATCACTCCGCTGCACTTGCCAGGGCTGCAGGAGGAAGCAGGCATCAACGCCGATGCTCGGCGTCCTGACGGATGCCTTTAATTGAGCCAATTTTGATAAAAGAGGCGATTGATGTGAACCATTTAAAGCATACGGTACTCAGAATCAGAGGCCAACCCGTTAATCCTTGATCAGCTCAGAAACCCTATTTGCTATTTAGGTTGATGCACTGGCCTGAAGGTCATCTCTCAGTCCTGGGCTCGTGTGATGGTTTGTCAGGCTCTGGGGACTGGGGTTACCAGTCAGAACGTGACCAACCATCCCAGTTTGGCCAGAGTGGAGGGCTTTTCCTGGCTTTGGACTCCCAGTGCTAAAACTGGGATAGTACCCAGCAAGCCAGGTTGAGTTGCTCCCCCTACACCAGATAAAAAGCTCAGGGGGCCACACGTAGCCTAGAAGGTATCGCCTCTCTTGATTAAAGGTGGCCCATGGTCTTGTCGGGACAGAATGGTTGCTGGGTTCGCCTGCAGACCTGCTGAATTCAGAACCTCTTTTTGTGAAATGATTCGAGAGGCCTGGAATGTGCAACGCTCTGTAGAAAACCAATGCCATTCTTTTCTAGTTCGGAGCTGTGGTCCAAGAAAATACAGGGGTGAACAGCGGCTCCCTTGAACCCAAAGAGGAATCGGCTGATTGCTGACACCCGCGGTGGTAACCGACAGTGCAGTGCCCAAGGCGGCCTGGACGGACTGGGAGGAGGGGGCAGAGTGGGTGTCACGTAAGCCCTTGCACAAGGCAGTCCACCCTGAGGAAACACTGCTATCCATTGCTCTTAAGTGGTTTTTGTCATCCACTGCTCTTAAGTCCAGGCCACTATATTCTAAAGGACATTTCTCAGTAGAAAGGAACACTAGCGTTTGACTCCGAGCTGAAGAAAACAGGCCACGTTAAGAGCTACAATCAGACAAAGGGGACTTTACGGTCATGCTGATTTTGTTTTAAGGGACAGGGAAGTGTGTGTGCGTTGGGAGGCGGGAATACGGTTCTTACTTTTTTCCCTCTTCCATGGGTGGGGAGCATGGGGGAGGGGTGGCAAACAACAACTATACAACGAGTGCCTGGGTTTATACACAGCTCTCTGCGAAGCTCAGCCCATCTGAGAATGGGCTTGAAAATGACACTGGATTCTGGTTTTCTGAGTTCACTTACCACATATCTCAGGAACCAAGAAACTGTGCTTATATGATGTGAGAAGTGACTGGATAAACAAAAACAAGAACAATAGCAAGCACATGGAATACTTACTATGTGCCAGGCACTGTGACAAAGTGTTCTAGGTTGATCACTTTATGTATCCTCATTGTGATCGTATGAGGTAAAAGAATTATTACACTTATTTTACACATGATGAGCCCGAGGCACAATTTGTCAAGATCATCTATACCTGAAGGAGGCACAGCCAGAATTCAAAGCCAGGCGGGGGTTTCAAAGCCAGGCGGGGGATTCCGGAGCCAACCTGCCAGCCTTCCTTTCGTTACAAAGTTGCCTCCTCCTTGACACATTACATCAGCGCTGCACTGTCTAGTGAGATGTTTCCTGTTCCTCTTGGAACACGCTCTCGCCAATTCACCCCCCATCGCATTCTGCGAGAACTCAGGCGAGAACTCAGGCTTCCTGGAGGTCAGAGGCAGCTCATCAGAACCTCGGTGGAGGTAAGCAGTGTAGGGGCTCCTGAGCGTGAGTGTGCACGTGTGTGCGTGGGTGTGTGCACGTGTGTGGGTGGAGAGGTAGGTCTCTGGCCCTTGGAGCCAGTGTCTGGGTCTGCAGTGTTGGGACCATGAACGTAAGGTCGGACTGCGACGTTCTCAGGCGTAAGCCGGGGTGTTGCTGAGCAAACTCTCCCAGGGGGCTGCTCACTACGTTCCCACCGCCATCGCCGTGCCCTCGTCTGTGTCTCACGGAATCTCTCTCTGTCCTTCTTTTAATTGTATCTCGGGTGGTAAGAGCTGAAGGATTTGATCGAGCGAGGCATTGATTCATTCATTTATATAAACTGAACATTTAGGGGGGCCTACTGCACTGAGGCGCTATTCTGGGACCCGACCTACCTCATGGGAGGAACAGCTACGCGGGAATGGATTTTATGACTGAAAGACGAAGAGGTCCATATACTGAGTTCCTTTGTGCCCTTTTTTGTTTAGTGGAAATAGATTTTGCCAAAGACAAGAAAACTATAATGTACAACGGCCATTTTTTTGACATTTGCCTATGTATGCATTTCGATATAGGTGTTTTTTTGCTACGAGTTAGCAAGCCGTTTCGGCCGTTGCAAATGAAACCAACTCTGTCAATTTAGGCCTTTTCGACATCTGTCTTCTCCTTTAACTTTGTTTAATCACAGCTCCTTTGGGTCCTAATATGGTTCGAAAAACGATTTTGCTTCTCAGCGTTCACTCCAAGAGAGAAACAGGGCAGTGGCAGGTGACCTGAGGTAACTGAACTGAGATTTTCAGGCTGTGAGGTGCGGTAGTGTGGGCCCCATCCTTGGCCCTCCCTTGCTCCATTTGCTTGGCCATGTGGGGCCCTCGTGTGGCTTGATTTAGGATCGGGTTCCATAGATCAGTGCTGGCTGCAAACCAGTGTGAAGGTAAAATCCCCTGGGAGCTTTTTGAAAACACGTATTCCGAGGCCCTGTCAAAATCCTAAAAAAAATCCAAATTCCCAGATGTGGGGCCCAGGCATCCACACTTTTAAAAGCTCTGTGGGAGATACCAATATGGACAGGGTGTGGAAACCATTCACTTCATATTTATATCAGCAAGCCTTCCAGCCCCCCTCTTTACAGTTCCCCAACCCACACACAGTGGTCCCCCCTTATCTGTTCCACTTTCTGTGGTTTCAGTTACCCACAGTCAACCGCAGTCCAAAAATATTAAAAGGAAAATTCCAGAATAAACGATTCATAAGTTTTAAATCGTGGGCCATTCTGAGTAGCGTGCTGGGTACGGCTACGCCTTCTGGACCCCGCCATCGCCCACCGGGCACAGCAGACACACCCCCAATCGACGGGCGCAAGTTCTTAAGTCTCAAATGGCACCGAGTCCTCCCAGCACAATGCTCTTCCCTCTGTGTCCTGCACGGAGGCGCAGAGAGTATCTTTCTCTTTCTAAATGTTACAAAGTCCTACGAAGCTACACGAGCAGTCGCACTTATGACTCAGTGTCTTATAGAGTTTTTAGTAAAGAGCTTTCTGAGTTTGTAATTATAGCCTGACCTCACCTTCTTCATGGGCCACAAGACGTGAAGCCATATGGTTGGGTTGGCACCTCCCTGAGCTCTGCATTGGACCACCCGTCTAAGAACGAAAGCTTTGTTCCTCGGCCAAGCTCATCTGCCTGACTCTCTCTTCGCTCAGCTTAGTTCTTACCGGGAGTCGTCACGGTCACTCCTGGCCCATCGTAACTAAACGTCAGTGACGGCCTTAGTTTAGGCTTCTCTACCTCCCCTTTTCCCAAGCTCCATCTTCTTGGGCCTAGATGATTGCCTTTCACTAACGACAGCACTCACAGCTAGCTAGCGTTCGCGGAGGGCTCGCTGTGTGTCACCTGCCGGCTGCGTGTTTTGCGTGCACTGTTTCTTTCTCTGGGGTGGAGTAGCACAGAACAAAGGTGGGCTGACCTGAGACTACATCGCGCTTCACTACTCACTACAGCATCATGAGCAGATCGCTTCATCTCTCGGCGCCCCGGTTTCATGCCCCGTAGACTGAGAATACGAATTCCTCTCTTACAGAGGGGTTGAGAAGATGAAATGAGAAAACCTTTCGAAAGCTCTTAGCACGAAGCCCAGCACGTACAAAGTCCTTAACAAATGACAGTTATTTCTCCCTTTGGCATTCTCGCTTAAGAGCGCTTCTAGCTCTCATCCAGCCGATCCTGCAAAGTTTCTGCGAGTTTAGATGACGTAACTTTCTTCTGGGTTATAACCTCGCTTCTGGATTACGGGCTTGTAGACGGGGGCCGTGTCCATAGACGTGGCTCAATATGGGTGTGAATTGAATCTAATCACTTTTCATCATATCCCTTCCCTGCCCCAGCGCCTAGAGCTCTCGTCTTATTTTTCACAGAACACTTCAAGTGTTCTGAGTGTGTGTGTAATGAGCGTGTAGTGTGTACGGGTGTGGGTGTGCGCGCGAGTGTGGGTACGTTATCTGTGCGAGCGTGTATATCGCCTGTGTGCGTGTGTCTGTTGTGTGTGTGCAGCACGTGGGTGTGAGTGTGTACCCTGGATCGCAAGGGTAGGCACAGAGTCTTCTACTGGATGGTGTGGTGGGGAGGAAGGGGCCGGGGTTTGGGGCACGGATTATCTTAAATTGAGATCTTGGCGCCGCCATTAATTTGCTGAAGACCTTGGCTATTACTTCACCTTTCTACAATTTTTTTCTCATCTGGGAAGTGGGGGCTGTTACTTTTCAGAGTTGCTTAAAGGGTTGGAATCGGATGGATGCAATGTATCGAACGGTACCCAACGCACTGAAAGCCCTGGATAAGCAGCAGCTGTTCTAGGTGTCCCCGGAGCCGGAGACGGGTACCGCAACCACGGTAGACCCCAAATAGATCACCCAGTGGTCCCAGGTCCCTTTCTCTCTGCTGTTCTTTGGCTTATAAAAGCACCTGCCACATCCAGAACGTAAGGAAGAGCTGGATTACAGACAGGTACGTCAATGACGTCTCCTGAAGATGCGGGTAACTTCCTGAAGCACCCAGGGCCCCTCTCCATTCCAATTCCATCCCCGTCCTAACCCAGCGGGGGTGGGGGGGGGCGATGTGCAACCCCCGGGACGGGGAGGATGGCTCTGAGGAGAAAGGAAGCGGGGACGGTGCCCTGGCACGCTCTGGGCTCACACGCGTGCCCTCCTCAGTGCTGAACGTGATCACGAATGGTTCATCGCTTTTCATGGGATGCTTTCACAAATGCCCTTACATCCTCTGAATTAATCATCTTTGTACTCATCTCTCATCCGATAGCCACTTACTGCCATATTTCTGACGCTTCTGGAGAAAGTGTAACTGGGTGGAGGGTGGTTAATGTTGCTAAAAGAAAAGGAAAAAGTGGTAGAAAGGTCAAATTTTAATATTCCATGCTGACAAAGTGCTCGAATTGGGGTTTCATGGGTACTTACCCCTTTGTCGAAGGTAGCAAAAAATTTGATGTAAGGCTGGAAGTGCTGGGCTGCCTCTTCAAAAGCCTTGAAATCTAAGAGGAAAAGACAAAAGGAAGAGACATTTTCAAGATGCACAAGCAGACATTTCTCTTTTTAAATAATGTGGAGAGAGTGGGAAGCCAAGTAATCCCGACTGGATAATTATTTAGTAGATTTTATTTAGATAGATAATTATTTAGTCCTATTTAAACCCACAGTTTCTCCCAAGGAATCTGAATTGACTGACACTCAGTCGCCCAAAAGAAATCTTTACCGTACTTCTGTATGTTTTACGAAATTGGTAGATGGAGAGAAGAAAACCCAGAGAAAAGACAATGTCCAACTCCAGGCCGCAGGAAAAAGTTCTTCCACTCAGACTCACTGCCAGCTTTGTGTGCTCTCCAGAGAGAGCGCGGCTTCACGTGTAAGTGAGCATTCCGTAAGGAGAGCATCCACTTGAGCGTGTAACGCGACTCAGTCAAAAATGACGTCACAGAAACATTTTAGATTTCTTAGCGGGAGCACTCTTTGTGGTAAATCCTAGTTTTTTCTCTCCACCTTTTTAAGTTTTTCTGTTTTATTCTGGTCCCTTGAAAGGATAGTTTAAAATGAATCAAGGCTATGCTTGACTCTGACCCCAAACTTGAGTCTGAAGTGGTGACAAGAAGCGTGAGACCACGTGAGGGTGGCCGTCTGTGCCTTACTACACCCAGACGGTCGCTGGGGAAAGACTTTCGCATTCCAGCTTCAGAGGTGAGGGCGATGGAAATGATGATGGTGGTGGTGCTGGTGGTTATTCTACGTAAGCTCCAGAATCCTGAGCGTCAATGAACCTAGGATTCATTCCTAACAAGATTAACTTTTTCCATTTCGTGGAATTCCATATCCCCTAATCATCAGAGGCATAAGCTTCTGTTGAATCCCAGGAGCATGCAGAATTTTCTCATATTCGATCAAAAACGTTCTAAGAATAACATTCAATCAGAACATTTAATCTCAGGAGACATCAGGATCAATAAGACAAAGACAATGACCAAAGGCTCACAGTCCGAGGTGAGTTATAGACCCCTAAAGAGTCACAGTGTAGTGTGACAGTTGGAACAGAGGCCAGCACAATAAGCTCAGATGAGACAGGGCTGGAAAAACATACAGGAACACTTTTACATACCGATACACATTCACACAAACTCCTCCTCATTAAAGCAATTGGGTTGTCGCAAAATGCATCATGCAGCCTGAGAGCTGGGGCAGAGCCTTGGAAGGGAGGCATGGAGAATGAGTAGAGCGAAGTGGGAAAGCACAGAAAGCGAATGGTCAAAGCCATAGCTAAGTCATTTGTGTCCATCTGAAGCAGCAGTGGGTCCATCGGAATCCTTCGGTGCCCCCTGCCCTGGCCCCCTTGTCCCTGAAGAACCTCTCTCCACCTCTGCGAGCTCCTACCCTGATGGAAAGCGTAGCCTAGACCTGTGTCAAGAGAACTCCCCTCTTCTCCTGGGGAGCCGGTCTGTACCCCTTTAACGATGAAGGGTAGAACAAGGCATATCCTCAGGTTGGTGCTTTAAACTGGGGTTGAACCCTTAGCCTTATGCAAACAGTAGTTGTCTTCAGGAAACCTAGTCTAGTCTCATGAGAAGCACCCCAGAGTAGCTGGCATCTATATAGAAACGTGAAAACTGACACAACGTCACCTAAAGAAGGACTAGGGCACAACTCCCTGGCTGGCCGTCTTTCCCCAGCAAATTCTGAAGGAGGGTGAATAGAGGCTTTTATGTAGTGAATGAGAAGACAGTTCGGTTGGGTCACAGGAGAGAGAAAAGTGGCGGGTTGTTGCGATGACTAAAGACGCCAGTTGGCAGACGGGGTAGAGACACAGCTTCGCAGAAAATTTCAAAATATTTTGCAGCTCCCAGAAATAACCAGAAGCAGCCCTTATTGGCCCCTCCCCCATGTACCAATGCCACCAGATTTTCTTTCGTCGTCACGGCCACTCCCTCTAACACTTTCCCTCTCTCCAAGGCTGAGATGGGAACAGAAAAAGCCTGAACTCGGTGGGCACATGCTGCCAAAACGGTGTAAGGACAGGTGCTCGGGCAGGGAGTCTTCTGGTGCCTTCTCTTCCCCACTCTTCCCGACTCCCACTCACTTCCCTCTCAGTCCGGTACGGGTTGTGCTGATGCGATGATATATTCCTGGGCCCACCCGAAACCCGGCCACAGGCTTTCAAAGGGAATGTGGCGAAGGGTGTGGTGGGCCATGGCAGGCAGGCAGCCTCGGTGGTCAGCGGGGCTGGGCCAGCAATTTTCCACATTGTGCTGCAGCTGCTAAGCCCATCTCTACCCAAATTTTCCTCTAACGCTGTCCAAGTGACGGAGAAGCTCTCCAACTAACTGGTGGCCACAGGAGCTGCCCACGTCGGGGAGACAGCCTAATATCTGTCCCATGTTCCGGGAGAATCCAACTGGTTGGTGGGCAGGTAGAAAAAGTGGAAGAAGGGCTTTTCTCTCTTCTATAAAACACTCTCTTGTCTTCAAGGCCAGAGAGCATGGCCCAACCTTAGTGTTCTTTCAGGCCCCCTGCCTATTTTGCATAATTTTGTATGTGTCCCATTGCCTGAGTGTGAGGAAGATTCTCCCTCTCTTCGATCCAGCACAGGATAACCCGATAGCCCATCCTCTTTATGGATGATCTGACTCACCTTGCTGGGAACCCAGCCACCAGACCGAGAGTCTGGGCTTGACGGACAACTTACATTCCGAGTCCTCGGTCTTGAAAAAGCCAATGAGTTTGATCTGGTCCTCGATGCGTTCAAAGGCTTGGACTTCCAGCTTGCTGTTGATGATCTCCACTGGATCTTCGATGAGCTGAAATGCCACACACACACATACACAAAATAGCTTCAAATAAGAGAACGGTTTCTTCCCCAGAAATCAGGCACACACAGAGGGCTTTGGAGGGAAGTTGTGGACTCTGTGGTTCGTGCCTCAGCGGCCACCCCGCCCGCCCCCAGTGACCACGGCAGCAGTGCCTTCTGAGGAATTGATCTTAATTCCAGGGGTAGGCTGATTGATCTGGGGGCAATTCTATCTCTCTTGGCTGTTATTGATTCAGGAATGGCACGGGACCCACTTCCGGCCGGTGAAACCTCCAGGGAGATTTGCTGAAAGCTTGAGGAAAGTTCTGATTTCCTCCTAAGAGAACGTGGGCGGCCCCTCTCCCCCCACTGGAGATGAGTGAGGAAATGTGACGGATCGGTTCCTGCTGCTGGCTATCTTATAACCAACTTGAGGACAGAACCAGTACGCTGAAAACAACATTATCCGTGATTAACAGAAAAAAGCAGAGCTAGAGCTCTGGTTCAATCTAGTCTAAAACCTGCCCTCGATCTGGTCTTCGGTTTGTGTGGTCCGGTCGCCCTGCTCACGGTAGCCAGTCTGGTTTTCGTTACATGCATCTGAAAGCCTCGGGCTCCTTGCATCTATGGGTCAGTGAGAGGGCCGAGCAGAGTCTATGGGTGCTTTTTCATAGGAGGTGAGCTTCGGCTCACACTTGACTGGATTTTTGAGGCTATGGAGAAAGGCAATCGGCCACTGTGGACTGGCTGGTAGGTGAAGAATCATTAGTATGGATGGATATTCCTTTAGTGCACAGGAATCTGTGTTCAAAAGAAGCTTGAACTTGACTTTACAGCTGTTGTTGAACGTGTGAGTTTATCTATAGATAAACTATTTTCATAGTGTTTGTTTCTCTGTTTGCCTGAGCATGTGGATCTGAGGGGGGTGTAACCCCAGAGCACAGAGGAAGGGTGACGTTGGGGAAAGTCGGCCTCACCTCTTTTTATTCTGCTCTGAGGGTAACTCTGCCGGTTGCTATCCCTCCCCCTCCTGATCTTCATGATTAGCCCACTCTCCTTCCCACACTCCCCAGCGCCTCTTCAGAAGCACTGGAGAAAAGCTGACGGAATTTCAGGGGATGCTGGTGTATAACTGCTAAGAGAATGAACATGTTACTACTGCACAGTCCCAATCTGTGATCCTCTGATCACTCATACGACCATTTCTAAGGTGGCTGAAGGGCCAGCGTCTCAGTAGAAGCACATAGCACTGTGATGTGGGTGCTCCATTTTTTTGTGAAGCCTGAGAGACCTGTCTCAGACCAAGTCAGGTTCTCCAGGTTCTGCGTCCTTACTTTGGGGGTTGACTTTCCCCTATATTTGAACCCGAGCAGCTCCATGCAGAGCCCCTGGGCACAAACGCTTACGTCCAAGAGAAACTCCACCAGGACGTCAGCGGCAAACTCGCCATCGAACTCAATCGTGCGATCGCCCTTCAGCACGTACAGGCTCCCCTCTTCATGAAAACCTGGAGGAAACAGGGAGTCCCCTGAGGCAGGAAGAGCCATCCTGCGGGCCGAGGTCTGACACGGGGTCCCTGGGTGACCGTGGGGCAGGATCAGTGGAACTGGCATTGACCCTCGGATCAGTTCCCCGGAAACCGCACCTCTGAAGGGTTCCTGAAGTGGAAATTTAAATTCAAAGAGTCAAGATCCAACACTCGGCCTGCCATGCGAGTCCCTCCGCAACCCCGCGCCAGCGCCGTCCCTTACGTCCCCCCTCAGGGAGACCTGTCCTACTTTGGGAACTGCTCTCTTGACCCCTGCAGCTCCCTTTGCTTCTTGCCCACGAGCTGATACGTAAAGGAGAAGTCACAGAGTGTGATCCTACACGTACGTCCTCCTTGTTCCTCAAGTCTGGAGTGACCTCCACCTCCCCTTCTCCCCCCATCCTGGTCAGCAACTTTAGGTCTCAGCTTAGGACATGTTTTTCCCAGGAAGGCCACCCCCATGTCTCCTGCCATCATCGATCTTCTCTGAGCTCCGCTGACAGGGACTCGTAATAACGGTAGGTTCTCTAAGGGTACGGGCCGTGGTATCTCAGGGCATCACACAGAACCTGGACATAGTGGGCGCCCAACAAACACCTGTGGCCAGAATGAATGGCTTGCTTTTCCAGAGTCGCTGAATTGTGCACATCCTCTTTTCCCGGTTAGCTGAGGACACTGCAAGGGCGCTCTCCCCTCCACCCTCCACCGCTCCGGGAGTGATGCTGTGTGCTCTAACGCATGCTCGCTGGAAAACTGCATTTCCCCCCAGGAAGGCGAAGTCGCTGAGGCTGGCGTTTAGTCCAACTGCACAGCACCCTTAACGCCTTCGATGAACTGTTCTTGAACTCTCTATTAGCTGGAGAATGCTTCTCTAGATGGAGTCCCCTGCAGAATCTCCAAGGAAAGGGAGTCTGGCCAACGGCCTGCGGGGGGTCCCAGGGCACATCTGAAGAGCCCTGGCACACCACAGAGTGCTGGTCCTAAATCTAAAGGAACAACATACCATGTATCTTTGAAGCCAGCAGTGGCCGATCACACAGGGTACCACAGTGTCCTGCTCTCAGCTAAACCAGTTAGGAGGCTCTTGCACTAGTTCAGGCACAGATCGATAGAGACTAAACGCAGGCAAATGGAAGAGAGGATGGTGATGAAGGAGCATGTTCACAAAACACAACTGTCCCGTAAACTCTGAGGATCAAATCGTCAGATAAAACCTGTCCCAATCTTCCAGGCCGAGCTGGGAGAAAGGCTCATGTAGACTCTTCAAGCCCCACCACATCCTCCGCTGGATGAATGTCCGCTGGTCCATTCTTACCATCACTTGCCCAGCTTGTCTTTCCTCAATTTTTAGATCTCCAGAACACTAACTAGCGTTTTCCTCTAACAAAATTCACTGGAAACTCAACTTCTCATTAAAACAGTGGGCAGAGAGAAGGCTAGGGAATCGATAGGTGCTGTAGGAGATGAAAGAATTCATTATATTGCTTTCGATAAGGAAAAAGTTTAATATACATTTCTCCTCTGCTCAAGGGAAAAAAAAATATTCCTTAATTGGTCTCTAGGAAAAGAGATACCCCAGGCATTCTTAATAATTCATTATCATTTTCTAGTCTTGAGTTCTTTGTGTCTAACTTGAATACTGTCCCCTACAATTTAAATCTTTAAAAAGACAAAGCAATTCTTTTGAAAATAGAAAACAGTTGTATGTAATTCTCGAAAATAATGAACTTTCACGTACCTGAAGGTATTTATTGAACCACCACTAACCTTTTTTTTTTTTCCCCTGTGCTTACTACTCCAAATCCGATTAAATTTTCTTCAGAGGTCCTGCTTTATAACCTCCTGCTACATTTTTTTTTTTAAAACAGCCGTTCTTCTCCGGCCATGCAGAAAAAGCAAATGGGCAGTACCTGTGTGAGGGGCGTTTGAAAACAAGAGCAGTTACCTGTTTTCTCTCTCCTTGGGATTAGAGGTGTGAGAACCTTCAAGTGCATTTGCACTTAGCATGACGTATTGACATAAGAGATTACAACTCTCTGAGCACGCCTCATCTAAATCCTTCCTCTCATCCTTGGTGATGATACCCAGCTGGGGTTTAGCCTTAAATTTAGAAAACACTGAGACTCCAAAATCACAACCATTGATACTATATTTGTTGGCTGCTTCGGCCAAGAGGTGAGGAGCTAATAGGGGATGGAAGGAGAGATCTGACCTCCCTCAGAGAGACCACCATGGCGGTGAGAGAGAGAAGCTGGCCTGTTAACCTTAGGATCTGAAAACAAAGGTTTGACTCTTTAGTGTCAGTTTCTCCAGGAGGAAACCCCATTCGATGCACCGATGCAAAGATATATTAGACGATTAATGTAAAACCATTCAATTCAGGTTGCTATTGACTTCCGTGAAACTCTTCTATGACCCAGGATGAAGATATAATCTGCAGGATTATAATATGCAGGATTATAATCATGAAAAGAAAGTCCAGTTATGGTGCAAGAATAAATGAAACTATACTTTTTTTGCAAGACACTCTTGTTTCTTCCCCGATAGATCTTGAAAAATCACACTTACCCAGTTTCTTGGCAAGCTTGGCTTCTTTCTTGGCGTCCACCATCACAAAGCCTATATCCTTATGTTCTAGCACCTGGGCCACAAGCTGAAGGGGAAGACAATCAGGAGAGTAAGTGAGCCGAGGGCGGAAAGATGGTAGAATATATCACAGGGTAATATTTTGAGGTATCGACGGAGGGTTTTCCTCCCTATGATCTGTTACTCTGTGACCAATTCAAGTATCAGTGAAGGGATTCAGTGTTTATCACCTCAGAAGAAGGATGATTCAGCAGAATGCTGAGAACCCAGGAGAGGAAACATGAGGCCAGATCTAAGATATGAGACCCGGAAGAATATATTCACTTTTGGACACCCTTCCCTGCTCTCGGGGTGGATAAAATTTGAATTGGGAGAGAGGAGGATCAGAGAGGAAGCGAAGAGGACTCGAATCCCCATGGATACCTGACAAGGGGACTTTCGCCCTTCCCCAGCCACCAAATGAGCCTGGGGTGCGGTGGGGACACAAGAGGGTGCCAGATAGGCTGAAGAACCTTAGGATAAAGGAGACCCGTGTCCCCAGTATTCAAGCACAGTCCTCGAGTGTGGAAGAGGAACGCCCACTGGGCACATCTGGCAAATAGACCGGAGGTGGCCTCTGAAGTTTTCCTACAGCCCATGAAGAGGAAGAACTAGTAGAACCTGGAGTGCAAGCATCCGCCCTGAAGGAGAAGAGGATGCAGTAGTGTCCTCAGTAGACAGATGGCTGAAAAGTATTCGGAGTGGACATCAGCATAGATGATGACGCCAAACACAAGACGGGTTAAGCTCCTGAAACTTCGGTAGAAGGAAGAAGGGAAACCCTTAGTTGACTGAAATCTAATTCCCGCCATCTGGCTAAATGGAAGCTTGAGATAAATAAAATGGAGGAGCTACCAGAGAGATCATAAAATACTAGTATTATTTTAAACTTAAAAAAAAAAGATGATTGTAGATGAAGAGGTAGTTGTAAGAAATAATGCAGAGAAGTCCCTTGTACATGTACCCAGCTTCCCAACAGCCACGGCTTGCCAAACCATAACACAATATCACATACTGGATATTGGCATTGATATAGTCGAGATACAGAATGTTTTCATGACCACGAGGATTTCCTCATGGCCTTTTTTATCACATCCACTTGCTTCCACCCTCATCCCCTCCCTGACCCTTGACAATCACTAATCTGTTTTCAAGTTCTATAAACTTTTCATTTCAAGAATGTTATATAAATCGAGTCATATAATATGTAACCTTTTGGGGCTGGCTTTTCTCACTCATTGTATTTCTGTGGAGAGTCATCCAGATCCTTGTGTATATATCAATAGGTCATTTTTACTGCTGAGTAGTATTTCAATGGTATGGAGGTACCACCGTTTGTTCAATCATTCATCCTTTGAAGGACATCTGGGTTGTTTCAAGTTTTGGGCTATTATGAATAAAGCTGCTATAAACATTTGTGTACAGGTTTTGGAGTCAAAGTTAATCTTATCTTCTTATCATTTATCTTCTTGAGGATAAATGCCTAGGATGCAATTGCTGGGTTGTACGGTAATCACATGTTTAGTTTTTAAAGAAACTACCCAACTGTTTTCCAGAGTGCGTGTACCACTTTACATTCCAACCAACAGTGTGGTGATGAGTGACCCAGTTCTTATGTCCTTGCTTACATGTGATATTGTCGCTATTTTTTATTTTAGCCATTCTAACAGATGTGTAGTGATAGCTCATTATGGTTTTAATTTTTATTTCTCTAATGGCCAATGATATGAAATACTGTTTTCATGTACTTATTTGTCATCTGTGTGTTCTCTTCCATAAAATGCCTGTTCATGTCTTTTGCCTATTTCCTAAATGGATCGTTTTTTGATTGTTGAGTTTTGAGAGTTCTTTAATATTACTCCTTTGTTGAATATGTGGTTTATAAATATTTTCTCCCACTCTGTAGCTTATTTTTTAGCCTCTTAATTGGGTCTTTCGAAGGACAAAAGTTTTCCATTTTGATGAAGTCCAATTTAATAGTTTTTCCATTTACGAATTGTGCTTTTGGTGTTAAGTCTAAAAACTCAGCCTAGCCCTAGATCCGGAAATCTACTTTTTTCCTAAAATTTTATAGTTTTACATTTTACAATTAAGCGATGATCCATTTTGAGTTAGATTTTGTGTAAGATGTGAGATTTATGGTGAGGGTTTTTATTCTGTGCTTTGTTTTTTGTTTTCGTTTTGTTTTGCCAGTGGATGCCCAACTGTTTCAGTACCATTTGTTTAAAAGGCCATTTCTGCTCCATTGAACTGCTTTGCACCTTTGTCAAGATCAGTTGACATGATTATGTGGGACATGATTATCTTCTGCTTTCTCTATTCTGTCCCTCTGTCGATAATACATAGTCTTGATTGCAGTAGTTATATAATAAATCTTAGAAGTGGGTTGACTACCTCTTCCCACTTTATTCTTTTTCAAAATTGCTTTAGCTAGTATAGTTCCTTTGCATTTCTGTGTAAATTCTGGAATAATCTTATCTGTATTTACACACACAAAAAAGATTACTAGGATTTTGATAGGAGTTGCATTGAATCTTTAAATCTGTTTATCAGCTTGGGGGAGAACTGACATATTTACTGTGTTGAGTCTTCCAGTTCATGAACATGGTATGTCTCTCCAATCATTTAGATCCTCTTTGATTTCCTTCATTAGAGTTGTGTAGTTTTTAGCATATAAGTGGTACGTCTTTTTCTTTCCTTGTGTTTCCTTATCACACTGGCAAGAACTTCCAGCACCACGTTGAATAAGAGTGGTGAGAGTGGAGATCTACGCCTTGTTCTCAATCGTAGGGATTTGTTTATTTTTCCCTTCTATTCTATCGGTTTTGCCTCACATGTTTTGTAGTTTTGTTCTTTGGTACATATACCTTTAAGATTTTTGTATTCTTGGTGGATTGATGCTGGATCTATTTGGCTCCACAATTTGTGCTCTAAAACCCTCTACTTTCTCTTCTATGGTTTGCTGCTCTTATTTCTCTCATTATTTCTGTGTCTTCCTTCATTTCCCCAGGATCTGTGGCTTCTCCCTTGGATTTCCTCTCCTGTTATAACTTCTCTGAGAGCTTCCTCTGACTACTCATTCTTCCCTCTCTAACCACCCCGAATGCTCCCATTCTCCTTCTCTCTCTCTGGCTCCTAACCACTCCTTTTCCACTAAGGCTAAGGATATTGGGCAGAAGCACAGAGAGCTGCTCTGTGAAGTGCCCCTGGTGACCAGGAGTGGAGGGCCAGGTAACAAATGACACCCCTCAGTCCTCATGCAGTTGTCTCTCCTTTCTTGGATTTGACTAGGAACAGGGGAAGCGTAGGGTGAAAGATATCATCATCATCAGTGTTTATGTTATGACTCATCTATAGCTTTCCGGCAATGTTTAAATAGGCTAGTCTTTCTGCAAAGTCATTTGGCTTTAGTCTATTGCATTCAATTTATTGGACAGTCATTTTTAAATAAGTGTTTTGGTTTTTAGTGTAAGCTACTCTGTTCTATTTAGTGCTGTCAAAACTTTAACTTAAATGTATCCTTGTCTGTCATTCAAAATTAGTGGTGATAAGAGCTAATGGCGTTGTGATATTAGCAAGTTTTCTAACTCCTAGAGCACGGGCCCCTAACAGTGGTTCTTAAACTTCAATGTGCACAAGAATCAACTGGGGTGCTGGTTAAAATGGGGCTCCCTGGGCCTCAGCACCAGAAAGGAGAGGATAGAGCTGGGGTGGGGCTCGGGAATCTACACTTTCAGAAGCCACACTGCCAAGACCCGTGATCTCATACCACGCTCTGGAAAACACTACTGTAAACAGTCGTCAGTTCATCCAAAAGCGATATGACATGATGTTCTCCAACTGTGACCCATGGGCCCATGCTCGACCTTGTCGGACCCTCTACCTTCAGCAGGGCAGAGAACTATTAATATTACTAAGAATATAAGACATTAACTATGAAAACTAAACACAGAATTTAACTTCTGACCTCTCCTAGGCATATGTGGCCACATTTTGTTGGTTTTTAGGTAAATGCAAATGTGTGCCTCTCCATGGCATGTAGAGCGTGGCCTTCTAGTTACCTTACTGACATTTTTATGTGACTTTTGAAGATACGTGAATGGAATGGGAAGGTGCTATCTCATACAAACTCAGCTGTTTTCCTGGTTTCCTGTTTAACTAAGCCTAGCCAATTACGCTCCTCGGTAGAGGTGGATAGACAGAAGTGGCAGTCACAGATGGAGCGAACACCCGTGCTAGCTGAGACCTGCCCAGCTCCCCCTGGGCACGCTCACGCACAATCCCAGCAGTCCTGTTACTGTCACCTCCTGCCACGATTAAGCCCAAAGCCTGCCCACTTGAGCTCTGTCATCACTTCCATCGGCCCTAGCGATCACCTTTCATGGCCCGAGCCAAGGGTGGCCAGGGCTGGCTGCGGCTCAAGAGAGCAGTGAGACCAGTGGGGAGAGGAGGGCCGTGGCGAAAGCCCGGGCTGGCTGCTGACATGACCAGCGACCTCCAGGACCAGGAACCCCTGCTGGGCTAGTGTCCTGGGCTAGCGGAGCAGTCTGGACGGTGTCTGCCTCTCACACTTGGCTTGATCTCAACTCCACTTCTGCCCTGGCCCTAAATCTCCAGCTCATGTGTTCCTTTCTCCTCTGCAACCCCGTATCACTGCTCCCTCAGGTGGCTGCCAGCCTTGGCCACCCTTGGCTGCGAAGCCCAGCTCCAGACTCACATTTCACTGCAGCCTCTTTTCTGTGATTTCCAACAGCCCATCGCAGGGACACTGCACGCTGACACTTATCTCTCCATCGTGAGAGTTGTGTTTAAGTCTCTTCTATATTGTAAATCTTTCTTCCTTCAGGAGAAGGACCACCTTTTGAGCTTCTCTTGTATCTCATATAGTTCCTTAGAGACACTCAGCATACTTCGAATGAGAGGATAGACTAACCCAAGTACTTTACGAATTCAAGGGACATTTGAGCCCAAGAGAAAGAGGCAATTGTCACCAATGACAGTGATTAAGAGTTACAAATAGGAGGAGGA